AGATTCTTAAGATTAGACTTATCAAATGAGAACAATTAATCAGTAGAATGGTTTGCCTCCAGAACTTGTGGGCATTCCGCATGCATGGAAACAAAAGAATTTTGTGGTGGGGGGAAGGTCAATCAATTCCAACTATGTGTGATCTTTTTTTTCGGTGAGAAGTTGGAATTGATTGACCTTTCCCCCCTCACACACACATTTTTTTTTTTTTGTTTCCATGCATGTGGCAGTGGCAGATTGTGAAGGAGAAACGGGACGGGGCTGGAAGTCAGGTAAGGAAAGGCATGGGTGCTGATGGCAGGACACCCGCCCACTTCACCACCCTTCCTCCTTGAGCCTCTGGTGCTCCGCCTGTCACCTCGGTGACCTTCCCGCCACCGCCCAGGATGGCTGTCCCAGGACTGCAGGGGATCACTTGGCACGGGAAGGGCATGTGAGCCCCGCCTGCCCTGGTACCATACTTGGTCCACCACCATGCTCTTGCCACCAGATTGCTTCTCCACCCCATGTACAGGCCCCACCCCACCCACAGGTGCTCGTGACCTTCAGAGCCCAAAAAAAAGTAACACTGGGTCTTATTTTCAGGGAAATATGGTATATATGATCTACAGTATGAGCTACTTTTTTTTTCTCCTTAAATAGATCTAGTTTTAACACCAGTGAAACCACTGCCAGTCAGAACATGGATAGTACTAACTGCTTAGTGTCATTTTTTATTACCTTTTTTAAAAATCACATGGACAATATGTTTACAAAGACTACAGTGTTGAAGGTGGTAAAACACTTGGGGAATAAATACAGAAATTGTATTTAGAAGCCTGGAACTATTCACCTAATATTATTTTTAGAACTTCCTCAATGAAAAATAAAGAAGGCATTGTTCTACAGTGGAACAAGTAGCAAGTTGGGAAAAGCTAAACAGAACTGGTTCTATGTTTTAGCCTGAGCTGAAGTTGCAAAGGTGTGAAGCAAAAATAGACAACTGGAAATCTTACAGGTGGAGCTCAGTATGTGAAGCTAATTTCCTAGCCTTCACAAGATAAAGTTGTGGAAGGACATACATTTTTATTTTTATTTATTTTATTAAGAAAGAATTCTATGAAGAAATACAAAGATAGCTTTGAAGACATTTTTCAACAATCATGTGAACATCACTAGAAAAGAGAAAGTGAGGAAGCCTCTTAACATTGCCCCATCTTTATTCTTGATTTTGTTTTCTATAAAAGGGAAAAGAAAAAGAAACTCTAGCGGGCTTGCTGTTATTACAGTTTGCGCAATAGGGTAGAGTTTTAGTAGCTGTGATGGCTATTTCCTGACCTGGTCTACCTAATTTTTCCAGTGTTCACTCCATGTATTAGGACTGGGGGCAGAGTTGGACAACCCAATGTTTATGTGCAAAGGGAGACCAGAGAAATCAAAATTTCACATGTGAGTTAGCAGAAAAACTTTCAACATTGTTGAAAAAGGAGGGCTATGTACAAATTTCTCTCTTGAGAAATAGCTTCCTGCTGAAATCAAACCATGGGCTCTGCTGAAATTTTTTTTTTTAAGTTTTGCAAAGCTTCTAAATGTTGTCAGAATGGAATTCTTATTCATTTCCCCAAGTGGTAGGCATGAAACAGCATCAATATAGGTCCAAGTCCCTGCAGATTGATTGAAATGGACCAGTTATATAGTGAGTGGGTTCGAAAAGATAAAAGCTAGGTTTTTGCCAAGAAGTTTCTCAATCAGCAGAAGGCAGCTCCTATGAAGCTCTATTACTAAGGTGACCAACCGTCCTCCTTTAGGGAGGACAGTCCTCCTTTTGTGAGTTCTGTCCTCCCTCGAAAAGTGTCATAGAACACTCAGAATGGCATTCTGGCACCTTTTTTTGATGTTTTTTTTTTCAACTTTTGCATGAGCTGTGCTACTCCCCCTATTGGCTTTTGAAAGCCAATAGGAATTGCTGCTGAGCGCGCCCAAACCTCCGGCCGGCAAACTTTGCACATGTAAGTTGTCTACAACGAAGGTAAATTGGCAGTAACTTTATACCCCTCCCTGCTACTCAACTACACCATCTCCTAGTTACTCCCGAAGATACCTGGAGGAGACTGGAGCAGCGACGCCACGGTAACTTTCTCTTGATCTTCGGCCCTGCTAGGGCAATAATGGCTGTGGGTGCAAGAGGCAGGGGCAGCGAGGCTGCTGTGGGTGGGGCTGTGAGGGGCAGCGGTTGCCGGCTGCCCCCGTGCTATGGGAGCTATGGGGCCTGCTCTACATGGGACTGCGCAGGGTGGGCAGTGGTGCTGGCAGGGCGGCTGCAGACTGGGTGTGTTGACAGCGGGCTGCCCCCTGGGGCCGGAGCCAGCACAGCTGGTGCTTTGGAAGCCTAGGGCTCACTCTACACGGCGGGGCGGCTGCAGGCGGGGGCACTGCATGTAAGCATAATTACAATATAAAATGTTATTGTTACAAATTGTTTTTATTATGCATTTATCATATTATAGTGTATTCTGTATTATTGTTGCAATGAATAAAATTTTTCTTTTATTTACAATATATTTTTCTTCAATTTATTTGTGTCCTCCTTTTCATTGTAAAAAAGTTGGTCACCTTACTAATACATTATTATTAAAAAAAATAATACTACAGGTAGTCCTTGACTTATCACAACTGAGCCCAAAATGTCTGTTGCTAAGTGAGACAATTGTTAAGTGAGTTTTGCCCCATTTTACAACCTTTCTTGCCACAGTTGTTAAGTGAATCACTGAACTTATTAAGTTAGTAATACTGTTGTTAAGTGAATCTGACTTCCCCATGGACTTTGCTTGTCAGAAGGTCACAAAAGGTGATCACATGGCCCTGGGACATTGCAACCGTCATAAATATGAGTCAGTTGCCAAAGTCTGAATTTTGTTCACATGCACATGGAGATTCTGCCATAATCATATATGTGAAAAATGGTCATTAGTCATTTTTTTCAGTTCTGTTGTAACTTTCCATGGTCATTAAACAAACTGTTATAAGTCAAGGACTATCATAGCTTTTCAGCGTCAGTATGAATTTATGGTTCCCTTGAAAAGTTAGTAGAAATTCACTGTATGGACTAATTCCTTGAATTCTGGGAGTTGAAGTCCACAAATCTTAAAGTTGCCAAATTTGGAGATCCCTGGACTAAGTTATTCACAGTGAAAGTGTACTGCACAAGACAAAGAGATGAAAAAGGTGTGGCTCAGCAGATCCAAACAAGCAGGTATGAAATGTATACAGTGGAATGTGGGTTTTACACCTGCTAGTTTCCTAGTGACAAGAGAATACATATTGCCCTTGTGCAACTCTGGCTCATGTCACAATATAGAAAAATCATAATAGAAACAGAGGCTTAACAGAAATGACATTTAAGGTGTCAATGCTGGTAACATTGGATTGACAACAGATGGAAATGTAGCCATCTTTTTCCCTTTCACCTTTAGAGTTAGATGATGCTGGGGGGGGGATGTGAATGAGAGTCTAGCTAGACATAACAACACTAAACTTAGTGTGAGAATCAAGGTTATTGAGACCAGAGCTGATAAAGAATTGGCAGGGTGGAGAACTGGAGAGGAAGCCCATGCTTCAAGCTAATTGGGGAGTTTTTGGCTTCGATTATGCAGTGCCAATGTTATGCTACTCGAATAAAAGATTCTTTAAGGTAAACAATGCCTCGAAGTTCTTTTGAAGAGCTCATCTATCGGAACCATGACATAAGGATTTTAAGCAGAGCTTCAATGCTAAAGTGCACACACATCAAATTAAGCATAGATGTTTCTACTGCAATACAACATTGGTGTTATCTTAGGGTTCCAAAGAGCAAGCATAGTAAAGTTGTCACCAAGATTTTATTACAATGGGAAAATAATAGCCTTCTTCCTAAAGCAAAGGAACAATATTACTTGAACATCCATTTTTTTAATGTTGAAACATGTTATAAAGTATTTTCTAATGCAGTGGTTCTCAACCTTTTTAATGCCGCGACCCCCAGTAAGTTGAAGACTACTCAACTGGTGCAGCACCGTTTGCAGAATGGAACTTTTGGCGGGCTCAGTAGGGCAGAGACAGCCTGGACAATTCCTATTGGCTTTTGAAAGCCAATAGAATTAGACTCTATTCAAGAGAGTCTATTCTATTGGCTTTCAAAAGCCAATAGAATAAAAGGGAGTAGCACAGCTAAGGAAAAGGGGAAAAATGGCATTGTTTGGCGACCCCGTGAAATGGTCGTTCGACCCCAAATGGGGTCCTGACCCACAGGTTGAGAACCACTGTTCTAATGCTTTTAGGGCACATATTAATATTAGTATTATATATACAAGATTTTCGTATTTTAGAAAAACATCTGATGGATATTTTATGAACAACCCAGAGTTCCTGGAAGTAAAAACGTGTTTTTCATGCCAATTACTTTTTATCTTTTACCAGGAAAACAGAAATTAGAAAACATGACAAATCCTTATGCTCTAATAGTCTTGAGATTGGCAAACTTAACTTTTGAGCTTGGACAAATATAAATATAGCAAAGGTATATTTAACTCAGAAACCTCTAAGATTTTGTTATCATCTGGCCGACACAAGCAAAAATGAAAATAACAAAATCTTCCTATGTAGGAGTATGTTCTTTTCTCAAATTATATGCAAGCACTCTGTGAGAAGTTCCTTTTGGTTGATAGATGAAGCTATATATCTATACGTAAATATAGATTTAATATTTGAAGATTGACCCTTTCATACCCTTTTCTCCTTTTCACAGCAAGATACTCAGTCCTGTGCTGTTAGTGATTCATTCTACAATGATTCAATTACAGTCAACTATTTCTATAGTTATTGTGTCATTCTTGCATTCTTGTTTAAGTCCTATTCTTGGTACGTTCCAGATGTTCCATAGGGACAGGTCATTGGCAAAAATATATTACATGAGACAAAGGTTGAGAAACTAGTTTCTATGGGAGTGGTAAAAAAAGTCCTATATAATCAGTAGGATTTTCCCATGAGCTTATAGTGAAGAGACTGCCTGCTCTATTTGTTGATTTTTAAAAAGGTATGTAAAATTTTGGATTGTCAATTTCCTTTTTGTTGCGCTAGTTATGCCAATATACTAAGGGTATTTTACTTTACATTATGGTGATGATGGCAATAAAAGATATGCTTTATAGATGTTTATACCTACATTGACAACAATGACTCCAAATTAATCTTGTGTATGTTTATTTAGAAATCTAAACTGGGTCAACTGGACTCGTTTCCAAAGAACTTTATATTAGGCTGCCCCAAAAATCACATCACAAATTGTGCTGTTGTAATTGGAGTCAATATAGTTGTTATTGTTATTATTTATTAAATTATATGCCAGCCCTTTCCCCGATAAAGTGACTCTGGGTGGCTTACAGATCATAAAAAGGTAAATAAAATAGCAGGTAAAATTTTAAAACTATGCAAATCAAAACTTTGAAATTAAAAAACCAGGAACCAAGAGCTGGATAATATAATGATAATGTTTTCTTAACCCATCAACCTTCCTCAGCAGTGAGTGTCCTCCCCTCAGGGCTTCCTTAGCAGATGGGGTCCATAGCAGGCCTCCTTTTGCTGACACAAGTGGGCCAGGCTAGATCTATTCAAGTCAGAGGGCTCCTCCTTAGCAGTTAGAATAGAATAGAGCTGGAAGGGATCTTGGAGATCTTCTAGTCCAGCCCCCCGTTTAAGCAGGTGAACCTCTACCATCTCAGACAAGTGACTGTCTAGCCTCTTCTTAAAAATCTCCAGTGATGGAGCGCCCACGATTTCTGGAGGCAAGCTGTTCCACTGGTTAATTGTCCTCACTGTCAGGAAGTTTCTCCTTAATTCTAGGTTGCTTCTCTCTTTGTTCAGTTTCCAACCATTGTTTCTTGTCATATTTCTTCATAAGTTTAGCTTATGAAGGTGTTTCTGTCTACCAGCTTACTTACAGGTAGTTTATCAAAAGTTGGGAAGAGTATAACGGATACATAGGTGGCATAGCAAGATGGAACAAAACGATGAATTAATGAAACTGTAAGACTATGGAGCAGATGAAAGGCAAGACTGAACTTGAGAGCTTCTTGAGCATAGAGAGTTAAATCATAGCAGAATGAGTCAGCCAAAAGACAAATCTATGACATTACTTTTTCCAAAGCATGCCAATCCAAAAGCGCGCTTCTCAGGTATCAGTGTCACAAAGAATGATTCATCTGAAATCTAGGGCCAAGTTTCTATTGTCTCAGTAAATATTTGACAGTTTGAGAAATGTTCTCATAATTAAGAGTAGTAGGCTGGAAGGGACAAATGTTTAAATGTCTGGGTATGTAAATATTATTTTTTATTTTATTTTTTTATTATTAAAATTAAATATTACCAATATCGCTGTTTGGGGTGACTCCAGCAGCTATTATGTTAAGCTTGCTGGAAATTTATAATAAGCAATTCTTCTCTTGTCCATTAAGAGCTAACATGCAGGACAAAATTTTATGGTCACCTCTCAGTATTACATGGCATGTATAGGGGAACAATAATGGCCAGAGAGTGCCAGCATTAAATTTTGCTGGCATATAAAGACAGAAACAGGTTTTTGAAATAGGCCTTAGTCCATTCATCTATGTCTCAAAGTTGGTATATCATTCAAGATAGGCATGGATGTGCGGTCCCTAAGACTCAACTCACTAACAGGGGACTTTTCAGAAACTGTCTTTCCTATTCCCCTAACAATATATGTGCAGAGAGTTGGAAAATGATCTTGATGAAGATATACAAGTGTTTTGCCAAGGCAGTGATCAGGTGCCCAGACAACTGGTTCTTTTGGATACTGAGACAAGATCTTACACTTTATTATTAGCTAAAGCAAACAGAATGAAAAGCATATATACCAAGATGATACCAAAATGTTTTATAAGCTGCCAGGAGCATCTTAATAGTGACAGCAGAGACACGGTACCCCAAAGAAGGCCAATTTCCACATATCCATTGCTAGGTTCTGTGACGAAGCTCCTAAAAACCACAACTCCAAGGTTTTTATGAAAAATTGGCAGCATGACCTCCTGGTCCTCTTATGGTATGGAAACTTGACTGGGGTGGGAATTGAAAGTCTGTGATTTTCACAGCAAGAAAGCTCTGAAGCTTTATGAAGATTCCTACCCCTGCCCACCTCCCTTACTCAGGAAACAAGAGGTTTTTTTTTTTTAAAAAAAAAAACAAAACTAAAAAACCAACCAAGCAGATTAGCTCAAAATGAGCACTAAACTTCTAGAATTTTACTAATTTGTAGAAGTCAAAATACATCACTAAATGCCTCGAAATAACAATGGTCTTCTGCCTTGCCAAAACAGCAAAGGAAACAAGAGGTAAAGTGTGCTTTAAGTCCAGAATGTCCAGAAAAATCTTTTCATGTGGCTCAGACATCTTCCCAATTCACTAAACTATAAGAGGGGGAAGGGATGCAACACAATCGGACTTGCAAAATTCTGTTACTGGTATTATAGCCAATCTCAATAAAAGTAATTTTAGCCTTCTTGTGGAATTGATTTCTTGGCGCTGTCTACCTAATGAGGTCTACCTAATTAAGGAACAGGTAAACAATATGGAATCCAAGGACCATAATGAGAAATAATTGCTCCCTCCCCGGACAATCATTTGTGAAGGCCTGCTTCAAAAATTTCAAATCTACTCCATTTTTCCCCCAAATAATTTTTATTTAGGACTATAAATGGAAAGAATAAAAGTTACTTTTTATTCTTTCTTTTCCCTTTCCTGGGTCTTTTCTCTGTTCCTTTTCTCTGTTTGTCTTGTTCTAGTGCTTAATCAGAGTTATCTATCTATCCATCCATCCACCACTAGCATCTTATCTTCCCATAACCATTGAACTTGCAAGCGTTTCCCAAAGTCCATTTAACCTGAATGGTTCCTTTTCCTTTTGACTTTACCAGCCTGGAGCTTGAAAATAATTTCAGCAGCTAATTAAAATCAGCTGGAAGACAGGAGGGATTGTTGTCCATGCACACATTTGTCCTTACTGGTGCAGGAGATGGAGAAAGGAAAACTAAAGTCCTTGCTTCCCAAGGCTGAAGAAGGTTTGGGCTGCTTACCAAGTGCCATTTAGATACTGACTAGTTGTCACCCATTTGCAAACCAGAGGCTTGTCCAGCAACTAACTTAAAGAAAATTCTTCAGTGGCAGAGTTTAACCACTGCCCCCAAACCATACAGCTGTAGAGATAGTTTTGTGGCCAAATAGATATTTTCTGAAAATTTTGTTTATCAGAAGCTTCCAGTGTTTCCTCATAGGGCTTGAATGGTGTCCACGAATCTTACATATAGAGCTGAATGCATTTTTCTTTTTTTATATATATGCTAGGTTTAAATGGCGATGGAAACGTTGAGTGGGGCAAACACTAGCTTTGCTATTGATTTTTTCAAACATTTATGCAAGACTCAAACCAACACAAATGTACTGTTTTCACCATGGAGTATTTCATCAGTTATGGCCACTCTCTACCTTGGGGCTAAAGGCCACACTGCACAGCAGATAGCAAAGGTAAGTTTTGATATAATCATAAGTAAACGGTTTGAAAAGAAGTTTGGTTTTGCTGTATAATCTGTTCTCTCCCAATTGGATGCTCTGCAGATGTGTTCGAATGCCAACAATCGTCATTTCCATCAGCATATTGACTGGTAAGTCTAGGTTTTATAGATCCAGTTGTTGGAATTCATTGTTGGAATGTATTTCTATACAACAACTACAGTAATATTTAGCCAGTAGGTGGCAGGGACAGGGTGCTGAAATTGTACTATTCTATAGCAATAATCACTGAAGTCTTTGGGGTTCCTATCTGAATAGCCTCTCCTCTTTCTCATATAGCAAGGATGACAGAAGACATATCCAAATTAAAAGATATGGCCTCATATGATCATTGCTTTAAATTGCTTCCTGGTTTACAAGTAATGGGTGTGAGAATGTGTAATTGTATACAGTTAATATAAAGATATTCTGTTTTTATGATGTCTTTCATTGTAGGTGTTTCATTTTAATACAGCTGGGGGAACTGAGACCACCTATCCCCTGAGACACCCACGAGTATATTCCAAAATGGAGGACCTTTTGAAAAACCCATGCATCTCACTTACAAAGGTGGTTTCTTAAAAATAATTCCCAACTGAATTTGGGGTTGAATGAATGTTTATTCGAAGCTAGGCTAAAAACACCTCACAGTTTTATTTCAGTTTGACTCATTTTCATTAAGTGCTCATTTTATAATGATTAAAAAGCATGAGGTATTGTTTATGTCATTTGCACTGATTTCTTAACATTAAAATCATTTGATTAAAAAAAACTGAAAACAAAAATGCAGAAGCAAAGCTACACCCAGAAAGAATATAGTCTGTTATAATGAAACAGAGAAACCATAAGATATCTAGTTAATTTTTCAAATAACTTAAATTAGAAATCATTGCTAATTGAAATTACACTATATGCAGTTACAATCTGCATATTTTTAACAGGTCCCAATATTTTTAAAGACAAACTGTTACATTACAAGAACAATTGCTAATTGCTCCAAGTACCCCAAATGGAATCCATACAATTAAAAGATATAATAACAAAGATTTAAAAATAAATTTACAGAAGCATGCAGGATATAAATACCCTACAACAGAATCCCTCGCTCCCTCCCTCCCTCGTTAATAAATTCCTTTGTTTTTTCTTTCTTTTAGCCTTCTCTTGAAATACAAAGTAACATCCATTCAAGATTCCAAGCCCTAAATCAAGAAATCAATAAACCCACAAAAAATGTTCTGCTAAGAAGTGTCAATCAACTATACGGGGATAAATCGGTGTCTTTTCAAAGAGTGAGTGTCACCTTTGTTTTAGTACTGAGAATGTATTAATAACATGTATTGTTAAAGTTTGGGCTTTGGGGCTAAGCATATTGCTATCTTCTATTAAACTTCATTTTACCTATAAGGACTTCTCAGAAGCAATGAAGAAATATTACAATGTTGAGCCACAAACAGTAAACTTTCAAGACACTGCAGAATATGCAAGAAAGGAGATCAATTTATGGGCTGAACACCAGACAGCAGGTAAAGTCCAAATAATTGCTCAGGCATTTATAAAGAAGTTGGCTTCCCTTCTCCTTCTTTTCTGCATTTTACAAGGTGTAGGCATTATCATTTGGTAGCTTTCTATTGAATACAATGTGTTTACAATGTAAAGAAGCAAGAAGCAAGTGTAAAGTGGAACTGGTGTAAGAGATGCATTAGGTTACAATTTGCTTGGGGAATTGGGTAGAGGGAATATACAAAATGCTTTCTGGAAAATAAAGATCGTGAGGAAGGATTTGATAATACTAATTTGCTTCCATCCTGAATGACACTCAAAGGATTACTAGTTTTAAGTGTAAAAGTGCCACATGAGAAAACTAAGTGAAGTTGTTTTAAAGCAGGATTTTAGGCAGCAATAAATGGTACAACTGTAACAATGATAGTCTGTATGTAAGACTAAGAGATAAAATTGCATTTCTTAGCTTATATTTCTACCTTTACATATGAATAAAGATGCAGAAACATTATTTTTTTCATTCCTTCTGTGATAAGGTAAAATCCTCAACCTGTTGAATGAGGGCTCTATAAATCCCCTTACCCGGTTGATCATGGTGAATGTACTGTATTTCAAAGGCAACTGGTCAAACACCTTTAAGAAAGAGGACACCACAGAACAACCTTTCAGGTTGAACAAGGTAAATCATTATGTAATGTAATTTTGTATAAAACAAAATAAGGTTTTGAAGATCACAGTACTCCAGCTAAATGATCTGTGCTCTATTGCTATCCATCAGCTTAAAAGCATTAAGAGGCTTTTTGTGAGGTGTGTAAGTCCGAAAGTAGGTGGGACCAAGATATATTTAGGCAATATTCCAAACATTGCCAAATAACACTATGAGCTGTGATGGTGCAGTGGTTAGAATGCAGTATTTCAGGCTAACTCTGCATTCCATTGCCAGGAGTCCGATCCTGACCAGCTCAAGGTTGACTCAGCCTTTCATCCTTCTGAGGTTAATGAAATGAGAATCCAGATTGTTGCAGGCAATATGCTGACTCTGTACACTGCTTAGGGAGACCTGTAAAACACTATGAAGTGGTATATAAGTCTAAGTGCTATTGCTAAAAGTTTTGGCCCCATTCACTGTAAAAATGCTGGTGGTCACCATGCAGACCCCATTCATAACAAAATATCTCTACCTCTTTTCAGAGCACAAGTACGCCAATAAAGATGATGTACCAGCATGATAAATTTAACTGGAAGTATATAGATGAAGTACAGGCCCAGATTCTTGAACTCCAGTACATGGATAATGACTTTAGCATGTTTATACTGCTTCCTGATGACATCAATGATGACAGCACTGGCTTGGAAATGGTAAACTCTTTATATTAAAGGGGAAATATATTTTGAGATTTTTATCCCAGATGTTTATGCTTCCTTTTGACATATTCTGTATCCAAAATCAATGAATTATTTAGAATTTATGACACTGTTCAGTCAGATATTATATTTGCATTTAAACAAAAAATGACTCTTAATCATTTGGAAGAGGAAATTATTATCTTACCATGTGAAATCAGGCAGCACCAAAAGGAGAGAAAAAAAATCCAATCCATCCAAAGTCCAAGAACCTTAGCTGAAAGACAAATTATTCTGTCATTTGAGCATTTCTGAGTACAATTCACTGAAAAACAGTGTTTCTCCCATCTACATGTGCTGAATCTATATGGATGCTACATACAATAAATTCAATACATTTCATATAATTAGTTTTAGAATCAATGTGGCATTGCACAATGAGATAAAGGGACTACAATCACTACTCACAAGAAATCTGGGTGACCTTGGCCAGTTCACATTATGGGCAGTGGTGGGATTCAGCCAGTTTGCACCACTTCAGCAGAACCGGTAGCTAATTTTTTGTTGCCTAGGCCCAGAATGGACATCCGGAAGTGGCATACAAACAGAGAACCGGTTGTTCACATATTTGAAAACCACCACCAATTATAGGGCTTTTATAAGGCAGATACTTGTTACAGGATAACACATAAATATCTCAGAATGTGGATGGGGACCTATTGCATGGGTCTTGCTAACCACTGGTCTGCAGCTAGCTAGATAACAAATATGCTGTTGATTTCCTTGGGAAAAGCATTTGTGATTAGCTTCCATCCAGATGCTTTGATTATTTAATTACTAACCCCATTCACACATTCACTGAAAAGCAGTGCACCAACTTCAGAATTCCAATCCCTGTCAGAAATTGTGAATGAATGTATCTTGTAGTACAGCCAAAGGAAAACCAATAAACACTATACATTCAATAAAAGAATAAAGTGTAGTTAAAAAAAGCGATATTGCAAAAGTAATGGGACATTATAAGGTATAAGCACTGTGAAAGATGGATTATCACTTTTGCTAGTTACATTATCTGCTGTCACATTCACCGTCCTCCAAAAGTTTGTGCTTTTCTTGGCAGTAGCAGGCATTCTGTCTCACGGAAAAAGAATGAGCAGGTATTTACTGAGATGACTTGGATTTTGTATAATACCCTAAAAAATTCACAATATAGGAAGACATATTTTATTAATAGTAATTAAAAAAAGAATTATTACCTAGTACTGAAACTGCAGAATAACTACATTTCCTTATAATGTCTGAGCCAATGGATTAGTCTCACAGTTTGACAGCATTTGCAACAGACAAAAATCTGCCTCCATTTTAAGAATTTTAATACGGTTGCAGCACTATATTTTAGAAAAAGATTCCACCATATCTGAAGCAAACTTCACTGAATCAGAAAAATGTAAGGACAGATTCCAGCTTAACATTTTAATATGTAATATGTCTTTGGTTTTTATCACATCTAATTTCTTCAAGAAAAGGCATAGTTTTGGATGAGAAAGTTCAGATAGTTTTATTCTTAATTGAAGAAAGCTACAATTGAAATATAACTTACAGTATTAATATTTATGACATTCTGAAACATCTCTTGCTTTATTATGGTAGTTGGCGCCTTCAAATAATCTTGGGAACTAGTAAACATGCTATTCTTGAACTATATATTGAAGTTGTGCTTAAATTGAATGGTCTGTAATCTTCACTAGTCTTGTTCATTTGATTTATAAGTACGCTGGGTATTTATAAAACAAGTTTCATTATTTTTTCCTGCTGACACAGCTGATAACTTTTGAAAAACTTGGATTTTACACTAAATACTTACAGGATTTATTCCACATAGCTTAAGGGATCTGTATATCAGCATAAACAGAAAGTTTAGTATGCAACTGTTTAGCATGCAATTACGGAGTGAGGCCTTTCCAGAGTGATACTATCTGCTTTTCTTTTTGTATCTTTCTCAAAATTATTCTAGTTGGAAAACAAGTTAACTTATGAGACCTTCTCCAAGTGGACTAGCCCAAAAGAAATGGAAGAAGTTGAAGCAAATGTTCATCTTCCTAAGATGCAATTAAATATCCACTTTGAACTGAAATCTTTGCTGACCAACATGGGAATAACAGATGCCTTCAATTCAGAAATGGCTGATTTCACTGGGATGTTGGCAGAAAGCAATCTGGGTGTATCCGAAATTTTTCATAAGTGCTTTGTTGACATCAATGAAGAAGGAACTGAAGCAGCTGCTTCAATTGCTGCTACCATAGATGGCCGAAGTGATCAAGGTGCAGTTTTATTTGCAGCTGATCACCCATTCCTTTTTTTCATCCGGCACAACAAAACTAAAAGCATCCTTTTTGGGGGAAGGTTCTGTTCCCCCTGAAAGATTTCAACCTAATGTTAGCAAATAGAAAGGAAGTTACAGAAGAAGCACTGAGCAAAACAGGCTGTATTTTGTAGCCTATGTCTAAACATGAATTCTTTTCATTTTCCAGTATCTTTAGAAATTGTCGCAGATGGCTTTTACTGATATTTTAGAAAAAAAGTCAAGTCATATTTACTGCTTCTGCCAAGGAAACATAAGAAACCACAAGCGAAAGTTTGTTTTGATTATGTCGTTTTGAAAGCAGAATTTTAATGTGAGTTAAATAAAAGATCTAATTTAATGCAATGATATCCTCTAATGGACATGCGGAAACATTTTTTGTAGAGGTATATGAGAATATGATGAGAAAAAGAATAAAATTAATTTCACATAATTCAACTTTCCAAAAATAATTACCATATTTTTCTGTCTATAAGACTCACCCTTGTATAAGACGGCCCCCAATTTTCTAAACAAAAATTCAGAAATCAACATTTTAAATATGAAACAAACAACATCTTTAGTTTTGTGCATATTTTCTATTTTATTGGTAATCAAAACAACGAAAACAGACCACATCTTTTGTGGCAGTAAAACAAGTGGCCATGCCATCACACAAGGGAGGTGACTTCCTCCAATCAGATAGTGCTCTGTGGGCTTAGTCCCGCCTACCCCCTCGGCCATCAATCACTGTACTGAGGCGGCTTTCCAGGGCCGAGCTGTGCTGGTGAAAAACGGGTCATAGAAGGCAGCTTCAGTGGAACCAGTGGCATCCTGGGGCAGCACGATCCTCCAGCACCAGGCGGTATCTTGGGCCAGCTTTCTCCCCATCCAGGAGGCATCTCGGGCCAGCGATATCCTCCTGTACCAGGTGGCATGGCAGCAGCATGTAAGTAACCCACACAGGCATGCCTTGGGCTGTGGAGGTTACCATTATTTTTTCGTGTATAAGACGCTGCACTTATATAAGATGCACCTGATTTTTGAACAGGGTGTTTGTAGGAAAAAATAGCATCTTATACATGGAAAAATATGGTATTTTTCATAGCCACTAAAGCACAAACAATAGCTTGCAACCTGTGGACTAAATACAGACTTAAGACAGTTCATTTAGTGACCATTGAAAGTTACAATGACACTGAAAAAAATGACATTTTTTCAAACTTACGACTGTTGCAGCATCTCCATGGTCATGTGATCAGACGCTTGGCAACTGAAGGTGTCCTGGAGTCATGTGATCACTTTTTGAGACCTTCTGACAAGCAAAGTCAATGGGGAAACCAGATTCATTTAACAACCATGTTACTAACTTAACAACTGCAGTTATTCACTTAACAACTGTGGCAAGAAAGGTCATCAAATGGGCCAAATTCACCTAACAAAATGTTTTGTTTTGCAACAGAAAGTTTGGGCTAAATTGTCATCGTAAGTCAAGGACCACCTGTAGGTTCTGGAAAGATTGGGGAAGAGGGTATCTCACCTGACTTCCTCTCTTTAGGTTTATTGAATGTTAACTCTTATAATATAAAGTTGCAGTATGCTAGACAAAGGATTAATAAAGCATCCTGTTTTCAGATTTATCTTATGAAGGACTGGAATTAATTTTGCATCATAAGCTTTAATTGTATCTCCCTGAACCTGAAGTAAATGTGAACTCAGTTTTGAAACTTGAACTTACATAGCAGGGATTTGGGAAAGAATGGTAACAATAATATATACATTTTTTACATATAGAGAAAAAAACTATTGCGAGACCATCCTGCACATGATCTTAGCATGCTGATCTTAGGTCCAGCCTGAAAGTTACCTTGAAGAGTTGCTTTGCATCATGAGCTGGGTGGCATATAAATTTAATTAACTGATTAATTAATCAATCTGTTCTACTATTTTGGTGATGCATTGTTTGGCTTTTTTTTCTTTGTTGATTTTGCATCCAAGGTATTCAGTTATAGCTGTGCTCCACATGAGTTTGCTTCTTGCAGTGAGCTGGCATTTATGTTTGATATTTAATACCACTTTAAAATGCCTTGATAAGGCCACATTTGGAATACTGCATCCAGTTTTGGTCACCATGATGTAAAAAAGATGTTGAGACTCTAGAAAGAGTACAGAGAAGAGTAACAAAGATGATTAGGGGACTGGAGGCTAAAACATATAAGGAACGGTTGCTGGAATTGGGTATATCTAGTTTAACGAAGAGAAGGATGAGGGAGGACATGATAGCAGTGTTCCAATATCTCAGGGGCTGCCACAAAGAAGAGGGAGTCAAGCTATTCTCCAAGGCAGGAGAAGAAGCAACTGATGGAAACTAATCAAGGAGAGAAGGAACCTAGAACTAAGGAGAAACTTCCTGACAGTTATAACAATTAACCAGTGGAACAACCTGTCTCCAGAAGCGGTGAATGCGCCAACACTGGAAGTTTTTAAGAAGAGACTGGACAGCCATTTGTCTGAAATGATATAGGATTTCCTGCCTGAGCAGGGGGTTGGACTAGATGCTCTCCAAGGTCCCTTCCAACTTTATTATTAGTAGTATTAGTATTTCCTGTTTTGTCCTATTTCTCACAGGATTGTTCCTTATTCGTGACAATGTATCAGTCATTTTTTAACCACAGGAAGACCAACTTACCCCTGGCAATTACTTCATTAAAGTGGTCACTTTCAATCACTTATGATAAATGATTTTATTCTAGAATTATTTTCAGCTATGCTGAACCTGAAAACTTAGTGTGTGATGGCAATAGCAGAGGGGGGCCATTTTGATTAATGTTTTCAGTCACTAGGAGTTTCTTTGATTAATGTTTCCAATTCTTGAAGGAACAAAGAAAGCTACGTAGAGGCTGATAAGAGAACTCGTCTAAACCATCAAGGATATTGACTTTCATTACTTGTAAACTCATCATAATATAAAGACCATGAATCTGAAGATGAGCATTAATAAGATCACTGCCAGGGACAAATAATCAGGAACAGGAGTTGAATTCAAAGCACTACGAGTTTATTCTTGCCATTTTACACAAGAATCTGCGCAACTAACAGTCCAGGCTAAATTGACGCTAGATAAGGATAAATGGAATTCAAGGCGGGATGGACTTGGGTCTCTTGAGGCTGTGTAATGACTCTATGCTGATTATGTGTTCAGTTGCACCCTCCAGCTCAGCCTGCTCATCTCCTACAATCATACTAAGAAAATGTCTATGGAGATTCTCAGCCATCCAGGTCATGGTTGTCCCAAAGATGCTTTTTTTAAAAAGCAGCTGGGTTTTATTTTTCCTTCTCATCCATGTTTCACTTCTCATCCAAGAAACGTTTTCAGTTCTGAATTCTGCTTTATTAAGATAGCTAGAAATTATGTTACAATAGTGTATTTCTGTTTATAGAGCACCAAGGAAGACTGTGAATGTTTAAAGGGCCATTCCTATGGGGGGAAAACCACATTTTCATTTATTAATAAAATATTTTCCATAAGCTATATTATTTCATTTTAAATACATTTGGAAGACTAATTTCCAGGATTATTGGGGAAGTAATTCTAAAATGCAAAAGGGGATTATAAGGGAATTTGGGGTGTTGCAAATCTGAATAGTAGGCCCCTTCTAACTTCCTAATCAAAGTTTAGAAGGATGGGGACCAAGGAAACAAGAGATGCTTTGAACAGGGCTTAGATACAGACCTGTATGTTCTCAGTTTCCTTCCTGTACCTGTATGTGTGCAGTCTAAGTGTCTGCATCCGACCACTATGGAATGACAGGCAGAATTTACCTGTCGCTTCTCCTCACTCCTCAGTCTGTTCAATTGTTTAGAAATGGAATTACAACACTCAGGAAAAATATCAGCTACATGAAGAATCAGGGCTGGGAATCACAGAAAGAAGATTGTTTGCATTACTGAACTGATGTCACACTCTGGTTTCAGGAAGAATTCCATCTTTTGAATGCTGATCTAATTGATTTCAGTACACCCATATCCAGTGAACAACCTTCTGCATATAAGTATTTGATTTTTGACTCGGCTTTTGCATCACTCAACCTGATGGTTAGTTGTCTCTTACATTAGTTTCCACCAAAATATTTGGGCAAACAGTGGGCTCATTTAACAGATGAGGTCTAGTGAAATTCTTCTGGGGGCAGCAACTGCTGATTCAGCCTAAAGAGTGAATGGTGCAATCGATCTTGAAATAATCTTTGCACATAGCCATCATTTACCCATATGGAAATATCTAAATTGCGACTTCCGGTGGATCTGCGCGCGCGATGGCAGCTACTCTGTAGCCGTCCTCCTGGGTAAGTGTTTGAATCGCTATGAACAGCGGACATCAGCTGTTCAGCGGTTCAAAATCCCCCTCCTGGGCAAAGGGAGGGGGAAGAGGATTGTCTGAATAGTGGTAGAGCCTCTTATGCACCCCCAAGGCTTTTTTGGGGGGTGAAAAGAGTGCTCCCACGGAGTTCAGACTGTCTCCGCTTCCCAGCTGCTTTTGTCTCTTGGGACAAAACAAGCCGCTGCAACCACCTCCGCGATTAAAATGATCTGGTGAGTTCTTCTTAGAAGCGGACAGAGCTGAGTAGAGGATTTTGTTTTTGCTTTCTCTGATTTTATTTGGATTTTAAGTTTAAAGATTTACATTTACTTTTATATTCCCTTTCTTTATTTTTTTTTCTTTGTTGAAAGGGAAAGTAAAATGGCGATCAGCAGGCTTTTCGGTGTTTTTTTTTTCCCCTTTTTTTTCTTAATGACTGGAACGGAATATGGATTTGTTTATTTATGTTGGGTTTGGATTTTAGGAGGATTATTATTTCTGTTTGACTTTTTTGTTTTGTTTTTTCCACTTTTAAAAAAAATGGAATGGATTTTTTCTATTTAATTATTTTTTTCCCTTTCCCTTTTTTTTTAAAAAAAAAACTTTTCTCTTTTTATTATAATGATTTCCTTTTGAAGGATTTTTTGATTTTTTGGAGTTAATTTCTCTTTTTCTTTTGCTCAACTTTTTTCTTTTTGGGATAATTTTTAAGAAGGAGTAAAGATTTTTTTAAGATGGCTCCAAAGCATTCAGTAATTCCTACAGCTTCTAAGGTGGTTTCTTCTTCGGTGTTATCATCAGCGCAACAACCTAAATCAATAGCTTCACCCTCTTCTTTAGTACAGTCAATAATGGTGAAGGATTTGCAAGATATGATGGGAAATGTTATATCTCAAATTAGGGGAGAAATGAAAGAGATCTTAGAGGAAAATAATAAGATTTTGAGGCAAGAGATAGTTTTGGCTTTAAAAGGAGTTGCCTCTGTTCTTGAAAAGCTGAACTTTCGTATAGAAGAGGTTGCAGAAAAAGTGGAATTGATGGAGGAAAAATTTGAAAGTATGGAAAAAGACATGGAAAATTTTCAAGATGAGATTCTTATGCTTCAATATAGACAAATGGAATATGCTTTAATAATTAGAGGCTTGAGAGAGTCTGTGCAAGGAGATCTGAGAGAGATGGTTGCAAATGACTTTACTGTGATTTTGAATAGAGAAAAAGAGGAAATACTTAGTGAAATTGAAAAAGCATTTAGAGTTAACTCTGTGGTGGCAGAGCAAAAGAATTTGCCAAGAGATGTGGTAATTTATTTTGGGAAAAGATCCCTGCGCAATGAAATTATACAAGCCTTTTATAAGAAGAGGTTTCAAATTGCTTCACAAGAGGTTATAATTTTAAAGGAGATCCCATCTAAAATTTTAAGAAGAAGAAAGGAGTTTGCTTTTTTAGCAAATGAACTTAAAAAGAGGCGAATCTTGTTCAGATGGGATGTTCCGACTGGAATGGTGGTGAGTTACCTGGGGATACGTTACAGACTTAATACTGTTTCTAAGGCAAAAGACTTTTACATCTCGGTCCTTGGGGTATGTTCATCGCCATCTATTGCGTTTAAAGTTTTGGAAGAGAAGAAGGTAGAATTGCAGTCCGAAGAGCCAAACTTATGAAAATTGGGAAATCTCAGTTTGAGGGGCCTCAACAAGTTGAGATGGAGGAGCAGAGGATAACCTGTGCAACATATAATTGTAAAGAAAAGGAGCAACAGAAGAAGGAGGGCAAGGAAGCCTCACAAGTATTGGTTTCTGAATATGTGGGAGAAGTAAGATTTATAAACTTTTTGGAGCAACCTTTAAGGGTAGAATTGCAGTCTGAAGAGCCTATATTAATGAAAAATGGGAAATCTCAGTTCGAGGGGCCTCAACAAGTTGAGATGAAGGAGCAGAGGACAACCCGCGCAACATATAAACGTAAAGAAAAGGAGCAACAGAAGAAGGAGGTTAAGGAATCCTCACAAGTATTGGTTCCTGAGTCTGCGGGAGAAGCAAGATTTATAAACTTTTTGGAGCAACCTTTAAGGCCAGATTTCAAAGCACTTCTTTCGAGGTTTATGGATAAGAGAGACTGATAAGGAATGTGTTTATTGTGGATGGAATTGGTTATTGGTAAAGATTTAAATATGTATAAGGGAATTTTAATGTTTTAAGTAATGTTTAAATTTGTGTTTTGGAGGGAGTTTATAAAGAATGATGGATAATAATATAAGTATGATATTAGAAAATGTTTATTTATATGTGTTTTAAGTTTTTTTTTTTGATAGGAGAGAAGATTATGGAGATTGAATGAAAATTTTAGATAAGAAGTTTAAGTTTAGCAATTCAAGGAGTATTCAAAAGAATATTTAGTTTTAATGGTATAATGAATGTTTATATGTTTATTTTTTGTCTTAGGATAAAGAAAGAGGGAGAGATTAGATTTTATATTGTATGTATAGATTTAAAGGACATTTTGCCTTAAATATGTATAAGGGAATTTTAATGTTTTAAGTAATGTTTAAATTTGTGTTTTGGAGGGAGTTTATAAAGAATGATGGATAATAATATGTATGATATTAGAAAATGTTTAGAGTATATTATAACGTGTTTAATGATTGTAATTATTATTTTTAAGAGAAGATAACTTGTTTAATTTAATGTATTTAGATTTGTTTAGGATTTATATGTGTTCTAAGTTTTTCTTGAAAAATTTTAACTAAGCCTGTACTCAGCTCTGGGAAGGTTGGGGGAGGGTACGGGAGGTTTGGGGAGGTGGGGGAGTGTATGGGAGGGTTGGGGGGGGGTTGGGGAAGGGAATTCTTTTGTAAAATCTAAAAAATTTTAATAATAAAAAAAGAAATATCTAAATTGCTTTGGCTTTCATTCCAACAGGCTATGGGAACTGCTGCAATAGCACTTACTTAGTTTTCCATAAGTACTTTGGGAATTTTTAAAGAAAAATATATTAAGTTTAAATATATGACTTAGGAGGAAAAAGAAGTTATTTACTGGCTGATTCTCCACAGCCCTCTCATTGGGCCTTCAGATTTAGATTTAGATTTAGTTTAGATTCTTCAATGCACTGACACCCATGTTCTGAGCCTCTACATATTATGCAGGAAACTGGAGGAGGAAGAAGCATAGGGTACATTTGGTACTTTGAGTTATTTATAAAAAATAAATAGATGGAATAATAATAATAATAAAATATCCTAGCAGAGTATAACTTCTGGATAAGCAGATCCATATAAACATTTATGGAGATTTTCAGTCATCCAGGTTATCCGAAAGGTGCTTTTTTGAAGAGGCAACTGGACGTTCTTGTTTTTTTTTTTTAAGATGTTTTACTTCTCACCCAAGAAGCTTCTTAGGCTCTGACTGGATGGTGGGGAATGGAAGGATTTATACTCCTTGCAGACAATGAAAAAGCACCTTTGGGGCAGATCCATGTAGTTTCCTTGACATAATGTACAAATGCTTCAATCCCATCTTCTTCTGGAATGTTTTTCTCTTATCTCAGCCGAGCCCTGCAATTTCCCAGTGGTCTCCATCCAGGATTCCTCCTACTTAACTTTTCAAAATTAGTCAAAGTCTGCTAGGCTACCTTTACTATCAGTCTTTGGATAGTGTAGCACTATTTTTAATAATTTAATTTTAATATTTTATGCATTAAAATTACGATGAGTAGCTGGTGGTCTTCCCACAAACTGTAGAATAGGTTTATTAAGATAGCTCGTGTCATGGTTCCGACTAATGAAACACTTCAAAGAACTTCCAGGCATTGTTTATCCTAAAAAGTATTTGTGCAACAAAGTGTCGGCAAAGCATGGAGGGATGCCAAGATCTGAATTCTCCTCCCTTCGGCACATAGTATCTGGCAAATTCCCACTTCCAAGTAGCAGTCATAATTACGTTCTCCAATCAGTTTGAAGGGCAAATCTTCTCTTCCACAACGTGCCATTTCTTATCTTATTAAAAACAACTGGGGGAAACATTCTCCCCCCCCCCAGCATCTTTTAATTCTATGAGCAAAGCAAATATTGCCTCTCTATATTGTCAAAGCAAAAAACATCCCATGTTTGCAGCGTTGACAGCTAGAAATTATGTTGCAATAGTGTATTTCTGCTTCTAGTACACCAAGGAGACTGCGACTGTTTAAAGGGCTACTCCCAGGAAGTTTAGTCATGAACACATCCGGATTACTTTCCTGCCCTTGTAATCCCTTCCTTCTTCTCTAGCTGATCTACTCCCAGGAAGTTTAGTCATGAACACATCCGGATTGGCCCTTGTAATCCCTTCCTTCTTCTCTAGCCAATGATCTCTGTTGCCTTTGGAAGGGTGGCGTGTCAGGAAGCTAAAATGAACGTTTTGCTTCTTCTAGCATTTATTGCAGCTTTGTCAGCCTTTCTGCCCAGTGAGACGTCTCCGGTAATTGCCCTAGCAGCCCAGAACTCTACTTTTTCCAGGTACAACCATCATATGTTTCTCTCTGTCCTGTTCTATTTCCTGCAGGTGCCACAGGTGAGATTGATAGTCAGTTTTCTGAGGCTCCCTTGGTTGAGACCTTGTTGTATAAATACTTAGAAGTTCTGGTGATAGAACTGACTGGTGCCTTTAGCACCCTGAAGACACCTAGCTATAAAATGATGTGCTGTCTAGTTGGGATTCTCCATCTCAGTGTCCTGACAGGACTGCTGTTTTCTGTGAAGCTGTATCATTGCATTGAGTGGGGGAGTGCTCCCTCCAAAAATCTGGCAGGATGAAAAACTTAATCAAGTTACTACTTTCCCACTCTGACTGATACAAGCTGGCAGGATGATTCCTTCCTATTGCTTGGATTGCTGTTCTTGTTCTTTTCTAATATGGAAGGTAGCTTTCAGTTTTTCCAAAGATTTCTTAACTACACTGTTTGCAGAGAGACACAGAAATTCTCCTGAACAACAGAAAAATAATACAAATTCAGTGGAAGCCAGAGTGGGAGGCAAAATTAAAGTCTTATTTTTGGTAGCATTTATAAACCAACTCAGAGTCATAAATAGCATCTATAATTTCAGATTCTCCTAAATCATTCATAAGGTTAGAGTGAGATTATGCACTTTTCTAGAATCTATTACTTAAAAGACACATTTATCTTTTCTTTACTGAATTCCTTTTAATCCTCTTTCTGTTTGTTTCTTCTTTTTTACCACATATATCTATTAGCTTAATACTTGAGTCAGGGATTCATCTGAGTTCACAGGCAAGAGTTGCACTGTCTGACTAGAAAAATGTCTACTTCTCTATTTTCTTCTAATTTTTTTTTAAAATTAGCATTCACAGTACCTAATATATGTAGTCTAATATGATTCCTTAGGCAATACTGATGCATTCCGAAGACTGAGTAGGCAGTTAATGTAAAATAAAAAACTACACAGTAAGATTGTCTATGTGAAACAAGGGGAATATTATTAAGTAGTGTCATTAGTCTTTATTCATAAATTATTCAATATTAATATGAATAGTTTTTAATTAATTTTAATTTAATTGCAGTTTCATCTCAATTCAGATCACATTTTTGTTCTGGGCCTACCTTTTTTGCAGTGGGGTCTTAAACAAAGACCACTTTCTTGGGGGAATAAGCAAATCGTATTCCTCTGCACACCTTCAACTTTTGTCTTTAGGAATCTGTAATTATCTTTATTCAGTAGCTTCCGTTACTGTATTAGACTTGGCATCCACCTGACTTTTCCTGATCTTCTGCCTCTCCTTCTTCACATGGAAATGAGAGCTGCTTCTATAGAAAATGAGCAGGACTGTATAGCAGTGTCCCCCTTTTCACAATCATCACCAACGCAGATGTTCTTATTTTTGGAATTACATGTGAATCTGGAAGTGGGGTTCATAGTTCCCTTATTTTTTGCCCATTAGGTTCTGTAAATTATATTCCTTAAAGCAAATAGAATAATTGTTCAAGTAGAGTAAAAAATAGTTACATAAGTGGGATGTTTTGGTCAACTCATTATCTAGGAGTTAATCTATGGTTTATTGTACTATATTTGTTCTCTAGGCTAAGAAACATGGAAAGCCTTCCTGCAGTAAGAAACACCTTTGCCTTCAACTTCTTCAAGACGCTTCGTGCAAAAGATTCTACCAAGAACTTGGTTTTTTCTCCATTGAGTATGTCTTCTGCGCTGCTAATGGTCTCGTTGGGTGCCAGAGGTAACACAGAAGCTCAGATGCTAAAGGTATGTCAAGATACATTTTATTATACATAATCACCCTTGCTAGCTGATTATGAGAACATTTTATTTATTTATTAAGTTTATGCAATGCCCATTTTGCAATCTTGCAACTTTGAGTGGCTAATCTATCGTCTAGTCTAAAAAGTTCCAAGCACACCTATTGACTCAACCTGGCTACAGTCCTAAGATGTTGCTATTTATGCAATTGCCAAGTGTCTGATTAGCTTTTGAAAAATGCAACAAGCGCAAGAGATGCCATTGTTATTGGGATTCTCTGCTCCCAATTCTCATTCAGATTTGGGATTCTGTTTGCAGGAGGATGGGAGCAGCTCCTATTTGCTTGGAATGTAAACAGCATGCATAGGACGTCTGATAGGGATTCAGGCCTCTGTGCTTGACTTCTTTAAAGCAGGGCTTTTCAACCAGTGGTACATTGGCACCTGGCAGATGGTACGCGACCATCCTAGAAAAGTGGTAGCGGGGGAGGGGAATGAGCTGAACCGGTGGCAGCACCGCACAAGCCTGAGCGAGAGATGGCTGGAGCTGCAGGGCTGTCAGGGCTCAGTGGAAGTGCCAGGATCAGTGCTGCTTTCCAGCTGGTTGGCGCTTCTTCGGGGCTGTCAGGGCTCAGTGGAAGCATCAGGATCAGCGACAGGCTCCAGCTGAAAGCAACACTGATCCTGGTGCTTCTGCTGAACCCAGAAGAAGCGCTGATCAGCTGGAATGTTGCAGCATCTCCAGGATCTTTTTTTTTTTATTGAAAATTTTTACAGTTTTACAATAAAATACTCCCCCCTCCTACCCCCCCCCATCACCCTCCACCCTCCTTCCCAGAGCTGAATACAGGGTTAAAAAAAACAAAAAAGAAACATACAACTTAAATAAACATCAAGCAATTATAAATACATCCAAGAACAAAGTTTTAAATACTTTAACTCCAATACATAAAGACAAAACAAAAGTTCTAATCATTACCCTTAAACATAGATTATTCAAAAGCTAAGTAATACTTTCTAATCTCATATTTATTCTGTATAAAATTCACCCATCTTTTCCACACCGAAATATATTTCTCTTGCGATTGGTCTTTCAGATAAGCCGAAATTTTTGCCATTTCAGATAAATAAGAAACTTTAAAAAACCATTCTTCTAAAGTAGGCAAAGAATTCTTCTTCCAATATGCAGCATCTCCAGGATCTTGTGATTTACATTCAGATGCTTGGCAACTGATTCATATTTATGACAGTCACAGTGTCCCAGGGTCATGTGAAGTGACCAAAACCTGCTGCAACCATCCAGCAGATAGGGGGAATAAAAACCAAACACCCCCACCCCACCCCCACTGCCAATCCTCAACAGAAATGCTCACAACAATGAAAACCTCGGACAGGAGGAAGAGCGCCGCCGGGCGTCTTGCTCAGCTGTGGCTTGCGGGACACTTTTTTCAGTGCTATTGTAACTTTGAACAGTCACTAAGCAAACTGTTGTAAACTGTCGAGGACTACCTGTACTTTATCACTTTTTTTTTTTTTGATCATCAAGTTGGTCATCAAGTTGACACCTTGCCATTCTGGCAATTGCTAATTATAGAAAATATATTATTTGGGACAAATCCTTAACTTGAAGTCCCAGGGTCTGAAAATTCATTTTGGTGGATCCTAAAGATATCCTTCAGCACAATTACCAAAAATCAGAAGGACAATTTATTAATATGCTGAGATAGGAAAAACATACCACCTCCAGTATAAGTCCTAAAATTGACATCATTTTTTTTTAAATAAAAGGAATTTCGAACTTGGGGAGTGGGGAGATGGACATAGACTCTTGGTCCTGGCACATGTTTGTGCTTCAATCCAGGATACCCATAGCATTCATTTATTTCATTATGAATTGTTATGAATTAAAAACAGGTCTAATACAATAAAAAACAAAAGAAAATAATACAGGCTTACCCAAAAATATCCACTCAAGGTGCATGCTCCCTAACTTGAAACATAGGGACAAAATAGTTTTTCAAGGGCCAATTAAAGGATGGGGAACTTCAATCTCTGAAATGGTTTCAGAGAGCAAATATCATGACAGAGAAGGCAAAACATGGCAATGTTTTAAAGATGGGAATTGTAGCAGCTACAAAAGTATTCCTTCTGATACATACACACACATACACACACACACACACACAAAGACATTATTTTAGATTGCTAACAACGAATAAAGGGAGGACTGGGATAGCTATTTCGAGTTTCTTAACTCTCTTCAGCCAGACTTACTCTTCTGAGATTCGAACCTGGGATGTGTGCATGTTAGGCAGCTTGTCTGTACATTATCTATATATTCATGGAGGGGTTGGCTCTTTGTGATTTAAAAACCCTCTTTTCCAAGTGAAGGACATTTCTGAAAATCCTCCATCTCTCTTGCTTGTCAGTCAAATTTATTTTCAAAGGAGATCAATGACTAGGACTTTTGGGGACTTCCAGTTTTGTGCCAAAGTGCATGGCCATAGGATAGTAGAGTTCCGCTTTCCATGACCAGTTTTTCCCTGCCAGGGGGACCCTAAATGGGTCTGAAGTTGCCCCGAAGAAGTGACCGAGAAGGAGGGGCACCCTGTGAATCACAAAACAATGGCGGTCATTCCATTCGATCTGGGGGAAGCCCTCTGACCTGCCAGGAGAAAAGCTACCTGTACATCAGTGTCTAGCCCAAGCTACTTGCAGCTGAAGTCCAAGAGCACGAACCAGAACATCGGTGAACAGCATGCTTGGAACTGTGAGAGTATCAATCTTCTTTCTTCTACCTTTTAACTGAATCCTTCGGAAAGACCCCCAAAGCAAGAAAACCTCCAAAAGTGAAGGGAGGGGACTTCACCCCCACTCCCTCATAGACGGGAGCCACGAATTAATACTAAGGGAGAAAGAAATATATTGAAATTAAATTTTAAATACTACAGTTTGGATAAATCTAGAAACTAATAAAACTATTAAGACTATACCTTAAAGGGCTTCAATGAAATTATAAAAAAAATATATAACAATAATAACTATTGTCTGAAAAAAACTGGAAAATAACAACTACTGACACCTAGTAGAGAACCAGAGCACAGAACATTAACAATAAATGACTGAGAAATTGGCAAGGTGCCTAGAAACAAAGAATAATCTGTTCCCTTGAACTTTAATAACCTTCAAGAAGACAGCTGGGAACAAAAAAAGAGCTTTGTTTAAACAAATAAGATTAAAAAGTGTCTGAAAGAAAAATACATGGACTGTTGTCTAAACTTAAGAATTGTTTACAAAAAAAGAAAAACTTCAGCTCTTGGATAATCTTTTAGAGGAAAAATTGCAGGAAGGACTTAAGGTGGCTAAACATACTGAATTGCAACTCTGACAGATTGATAATTGACCCCTGAAGAAAAAAACCTGTTACAAAATACTGCTTTCACTGAGGCCTTAATAATTGGAAATATATTGAACTACAAAAACCATATATAAAGATAAGAGCTATATGAGATTGGGTTGTGCAACTCTGAGACTGATAAGTTGGATAACTAATTCAGAGACTAAAATATTGATGAAAGACTATTTGAAGGGGGGAGACAACATGGATATAATACACTTATCAAAAAATGACAGGACACCACACTCAATATTTACCCCTGAAAGATCTAGCCTGGAACATCAAAGACCTCCAGAAGCAATATTTCCAGGCAAGACAAATACTTTCCAGGAGGAAATGTACATAATGTTACAACAGGTACAAATGACAATAGCTTTAAACCATAAGGAAATCAGAAACAACTTTGACGACATAAATAAGCACATCTAATTTAAAGCTACAATCAAAAAGCACCCAGAAAATGACTGAACGAACAAAGTGAATGAATAAACAAATCAGATAATAGAACACATGATAATAGATAATAGAAGAACATGATCAAATCAACAAAGCTACAAACAATTTAATACAAATACAAAAAAATGTATAAGACTTTGACATAACAACAACAATGGAATGGACTATAGAATTTCCAGGTGAATCATCAGAGTTTGGGAGACAGAAAGTATATATTTTACCTATTCTATCTTCTTTACTCTCAACAAAACTTACAAAAACTGAAGGTTAGCAAAATATATCAACTTGGAAAGCTACTCGGCAAAAGAAGAAGGCTAGAGACAGATTCAAAAGATTAGACTCGCCCTGCCAGATGGAGTATTACATGAGCAAACACTTGTTTGAATATGGTTAAAAGAATAGAGAACTTTGAACATAAAGGGACCCTACAATAAGAGGAATAAGAGATTTAAGTAGTATAGTATGTTTTACAATATATGAAATGTAAAAATATTGAGATGATGTAATTTTTATAAAAACAAGTGACATATAAGCTGTTCAGAAAGGATGTTATACGTAGCTGCTATAAGACAGGTAAGAAATACAGTACAAACATGAAAAAATGTTTATATTTAATAATTTATACTTTGCAAATATTAAGAATTATATCTATTTAAGGTTGAAGAAAAAGAATACAATTGGGAAAAGGAAAGATCAAAGAAATATATTATTAATTAATATACTAATTATGGAATTATCAAAATTAATCATTATTGACTGAATTAATTATTATTGGTTTTTTTTTTTCAAATATATAAACCAAGACAATACACTGTACACCAGGCACTGGAGATTGTTATTGTAAAGAAAACAATAAAATATTTTTTAAAAAATTGACTAGGATTTTCAAACATGGAAAAGTCCAAACATGGACAAGTAAAGTCAAGACAATTTTTAGGGACTTTATGGACACCTATGCTTTCCTTGGCTACAGTAGGGAATCGGTTGCCTTAAAGGAAGGATTTTTTTTAAAAAAAATTCAGCCTACTCTGTAAGTAGGCTGAAGTGTTTGGGGTTCAAACACTACCCAAATATTAACTACGTCCAACTCTGCTTGGCTTTTATTATCTATACATCTGTTTGGCTTTCAACTTTAAAAGTTACACATCTGCAGGTAATCCTTCAAAAAATTTAGCTCCAAAATATATAGAGATCATTTGTAATGTGCAAGGTTTTGTCATTGTTGTATTACATTTTGAATTGATTTTGAACATAATTTGATTATCCATATATCATCTTATAGGTGCTATCTGTATCCAAAGATGGAGAGGTTCAGCAAAGATTTGAGAAGCTCATTTCTGAAATCAACAAACCAGGCGCCAATTATAGCCTCAGTCTAGCCAACCACCTCTTTGGAGAAGCATCCTATGTTTTTCTTGAAGTAAGTAACATGCATATTGGAGAACTGGCTAGAAACAACCATAAGTGCTCTGTTTGTTCCAACGTTTGCCTTCAGGGGTAGGCAACCTTGGCTCTTTTATGACTCGTGGACTTCAACTCCCAGAATTCCTGAGCCAGCCAAGCTGGCTCAGGAATTCTGGGAGTTGAAGTCCACGAGTCATAAAAGAGCCAAGGTTGCCTACCCCTGGCCTGTATTATTCTGGGAGTTGAAGTCCACGAGTCATAAAAGAGCCAAGGTTGCCTACTCCAGCCTATATCATTGGAATTGCAGTTTAGCTCTGAAAAAGTACCTAATACTCCTATAGCTTTACTTTGGCCAACTGAATTAACTGAAGGGGGAAATAAAAGTCTAGCTGCTTTTAGTGAGAATGTTACAGGAACACCCAGTAAGATTTTAGCATTCTAAATATAGAACTTTCAAATAAAAGTCATAAATAGAACTATGTGATCCATAATTGCCAGATATATTCTTGAATAAACTAAGTTATCTTGGGATAATTCCATAACAGTTCCTAATATCTGATATACTATTTCTAAGCTGTATTAACTATCCAATGGCCTGGCTGTTTCTAAGGTGTATTCAGTGTAATAAATAATGTTTTCAGAGTGTTAGTTCACAGAAGCATGGAACAAAATCAGTTCTTGCTCTTTTGTGTTGCTTCCATTACTGAGATGTCATTGTTTTTTTAAGTCATTTATAGAATCCATTCAGAAATTCTACCATGCAGGTCTGGAGAAACTTAACTTTAAGCATGCTGCAGAATATTCACGAAGACATATAAATGCCTGGGTAGAAGAAAAAACCACAGGTGAGAATGATAATAGAGTTAATTATTAGTTGCATTAAGAAAGACATGCAATATTGTGCATGCATGTGTGAGAGAGAGACAAGGCAGGCAGACCCACCATATTTATTAACCTTTATTTGCTACATAAGTGTCCATCAAACCTCTGATGAAATTCTAGCCAAGAATAGAGGCTTGATTCTATTGATGGACACATCTGAGCATATTTCAGTTATTTAACTTGCCTGTTGTTTAACTTGTTTATGTGTGGTAACCTTACTAAATAATGACATAAGATGGGTGACTATATAAACGTTAAGGTAGGGAAGATGGATGGATGTTGAACCGGCCCTGAGGAAGCAAAAGCTGTATTTCATCTTCAGTCGGAGAAGCTCTCTGGTGACCATCTTGAGCTCCTGAAGGAGACTCAAGATAAGAATCTAATAATTAAATTAAAATGTCTTTATTTTGGCTTACCTACAAACACTAGGCCACTCAGGTATGAACTAAATCATATTCCTGATGAATATACAGTAGAGGTGACAAATAGATTTAAGGAATTAGATCTGATAGACAGAGTGCCTGAAGAACTATGGATGGAAGTTTGCAACATTGTACAGGAGGTAGCAACTAAAACCATCCCAAAGAAAAAGAAATACAAGAAAGCAAAATGGCTGTCTGAGGAAGCTTTGCAAATAGCTGAGGAAAGAAGGGAAGCGAAAGGCAAAGGAGAAAGAGAAAGATACACCCAATTGAATGCAGAATTCCAGAGAGTAGCTAGAAGAGATAAGAATGCCTTCTTAAATGAACAGTGCAAAGAAATAGAAGAAAACAACAGAATAGGGAGGACCAGAGATCTCTTCAAGAAAATTGGAGATATGAAGGGAACGTTTCATGCAAAGATGGGCATGATAAAGGACCAAAATGGCAGAGACCTAACAGAGGCAGAAGAGATTAAGAAGAGATGGCAAAACTACACAGAAGAACTATACAAGAATGAGCTTAACATCCCAGATAACCACAATGAGATGGTCATTGACCTCGAACCAGACATCCTAGAATGTGAAGTGAAATGGGCCTTAGAAAATCTGAGCAACAACAAAGCTAGTGGAGGTGACAGTATTCCAGCTGAGCTATTCAAAATCTTAAAAGACGATGCAGTAAAAGTGCTACACTCAATTTGCCAGCAAATCTGGAAAACTCAACAGTGGCCACCGGATTGGAAAAGGTCAGTTTACATTCCAATTCCAAAGAAAGGCAATGCCAAAGAATGTTCAAACTATCGCACCATTGCACTCATTTCACATGCTAGTAAAGTTATGCTTAAAATCCTACAAGCTAGACTCCAGCAGTATGTGGATCGAGAACTACTAGAAGTACAGGCAGGATTTCGAAGAGGCAGAGGAACTAAAGATCAAATTGCCAACATACGCTGGATCATGGAGAAAGCTAGGGAGTTCCAGAAAAACATCTACTTCTGCTTCATTGACTATGCAAAAGCCTTTGATTGTGTGGATCACAACAAATTGTGGCAAGTTCTTAAATAGATGGGAGTACCAGACCATCTCATTTGTCTCTTGAGAAATCTATATGCGGGTCAAGAAGCAACAGTGAGAACTGAACACGGAACCACTGATTGGTTCAAAATTGGAAAAGGAGTCTGGCAAGGCTGTATACTGTCGCCCTGCCTATTTATTTATTTATTTATTATTTATTTACAAATATTTATATGCCGCCCAATCCCAAAGGACTCAGGGCGGCGTACAAAGTTAAAAACAGTCGTAAAACAATAAAATAATCCAGTCATACCACGAGTGCTTATATGCTAGAGCACTTATATGCAGAGCACATCATGAGAAAGACAGGGCTAGATGAATCAAAAGTTGGAATTAAGATTGCCGGGAGAAATATCATCAACCTCAGATATGCATATGATACCACTTTAATCGCAGAAAGTGAAGAGGAACTAAAGAGCCTCTTGATGCGGGTGAAGAAGGAGAGTGCAAAAGTTGGCTTGAAACTCAACATTAAGAAAACCAAAATCATGGCATCCGGTCCTCTCAATTCCTGGCAAATAGATGGGGAAGAAATGGAGGTAGTGACAGATTTTATTTTTCTGGGCTCCAAGATTAGCTCAGATAGGGACTGCAGCCAAGAAATTAAAAGACGCTTGCTCCTGGGGAGGAAAGCTATGGCAAATCTAGACAGCATACTAAAAAGCAGAGAAGACTCCTGCGAGTCCCTTGGACTGCAAAGCGATCCAACCTGTCAGTCCTAGGAGAGATCAACCCTGACTGCTCTTTAGAAGGCCAGATCCTGAAGTTGAAACTCAAATACTTTGGCCACCTAATGAGAAGGAAGGACTCACTGGAGAAGGGCCTAATGCTGGGAAAGATTGAGGGCAATAGAAGACGGGGACAACAGAGAATGAGATGGCTGGATGGAGTCACTGAAGCAGTAGGTGTGAACTTAAGTGGACTCCAGAAGATGGTAGAGGACAGGAAGACTTGGAGGAACATTGTCCATGGGGTCGCGATGGGTCGGACACGACTTCGCAATTAACAACAACAACAAACATGACCGAGAGAAAGAGAGAGAGAGAGAGAGAGAGAGAGAGAGAGAGAGAAAGAGAGATGTTGAGAAATAATAAATCTTACAAGTGGATTCCTAAGACTTTTGTGCAACATTATGCCTATAAAAGTATCTGTCAATTAAAGCAGTTTTTTTTTACACTCTCAAAAGGTAAAATTCAGAATCTGCTTGCTCCAAGAATAATTAATTCACTTACAAAACTGGTTTTGGTGAATGCTATCTATTTCACGGGAAACTGGGCAAATAAGTTCAACAAAGATCACACACAGGAAAAGCCATTCCAGATTAACAAGGTATTTATTTATTAACCAGGTAAAAGAGGCATTCTGAGTATTTTAAATTGCATTATTTTGCATATATCTGAAGCAAGTGTGGGATTAATTTGAAACATTCCTGTAACAAAGAAATTGGTTAATTCTTACATTTTTATTGATCTTCATGGAAATAGAGGAATCATGAAGATCAGTCATCTTGAGACATTCAGGTTCTGTCTGTAGACATTCAGACTTGTGTGTAGAAATTCAGACTTTTCAGTCATTGAAACTTTTTATGTAGGGATTTCTAGTCCAGCACCAGTCCCACTAATTCTATGTGATTAACCACAATAACTAGGGAGTAGTTGTGATTAGCAAATATATTTGCTGAGTAGGGTTCTCTTATGTATTATCACCTAGAAGTATTCGATGGAAGAATAGGCACAATATGTTTCTATGTTGTATCCACAAAGGAGGCTAGTTTTGATATTACAAACATCTGTTCATTTTAGAAAATGGCTGATTAAAATCACAGACCTGTGTTTCATTGCATTCTTTTGCTCACAGAATTGATAATTCTTTAGGTATCATTTTTCTAAAAGTCATAAGTTTTGCTTTTTAAATCTAATCCTTAATACTCTAAAATTATTCCAATTCTATGAAAAGTAAATTATCACTATGTGTAAAGATTGGAAAATTTGGTGGATGGCACAGATATGATACAGTAAATGCTCATATACATTATAAACACTCAATATAGTTTGATTCAAAAGGTCAAATCAAAAGATGAAAGATTTAGTCAGAGGGGAAAAAACCCCAACACTAAATACATGATGGCATTATTTGTATTGTCTATTTATTTGAAATATTTCTTCTAATCTAGATTTTCTTCACTTGTAGAATGAAACCAAAACAGTGCAGATGATGTTCAGCAAAGGGAAGTACAACATGACCTACATATCGGACTATCGGACTTTAATTCTTGAGATTCCATATGCTGTTGAAGACTTGAACATGTTGATTTTGCTTCCTGATAAGATTGAAGATAATTCTACTGGGTTGGAAAAGGTGAAGTATTTTCATGAAACAATTTAAAACCCTGGTCCATCTGAAAATATCTCTGATACTAGCTGTATGCTGTCCTTTTGAATATTGAAGCTTGGTTTTCTGCAATTATAATTAGTGCTATTGGACTGACTTTTGATTTTCCCTTGTTTTGAAAAGATGCAAAAAAAATAGTCTAAAGAACACAGCTAATACATTTATATCTCAACTATTGTATACACAACGTGATTCCATCGATAGTTGATGTGTACAAGGCAATTGATAAATTTGCCAATAATATACGGTATTTCTTATGACATTATTAAGAGGCAAAGAGTTAAGATTCAGTTTTCGATTCTTCAATTTATACTGTTAAATGTTGAAATAGCTACTGAGATCTGTAGCTTGAAGAAACGAATAAACAAGTTCATATAGCTGAGGTATTTTTGCGTGGGTATGTGGATATTTGAGCCTTCAAGTCAGGCTTAACTTCTGTCAACTGTCTGGACAAATCCAGGTAGTTAATTTGGCAACATTTTCAGAAGTTGTTTGCTCTTGCCTGCTTTGTAGGGCTAAGAGGGTGTGACTAACTCCAAATCACCAAATCTAGTAATTCAAGTGATGATTTAGTGCTTTTAACCACTATAACAAACTAGGTCTCATTTTGTACTTTTCTTTTAGCAATTCTTTTAGCTTTTAGCATCAGTTTAAATTATTGGATTTTCTGGAATGAAAATTGGTATAAAATTTAATACAAAAATGAATGAATTATAAAAATATTTATCAGCAAGTGAGTTTTCTCTGATGCAATGTATATAAATTTGTCTGGACTGTTGGGTAAGCAATTCTAGAACTAGTGACTCTACCAGGTGGATCTGGCTTATCTTCCTCATGTTTGTTAATGAGTGAATTGAGTTAGAAATTGATGTACTTCGAACATAAAGCTACATTTATATTCTTCCTTTTCCTCCTGGTTCTAAGGTCTGCCCTGTTTTTGTGACTTAATTATCTTTCCTAATGTTCTATGAAATACAAGAATTTGCAACTGCTTGTAAGATTTCAGGAGTTTTCTGCAATTGTCAACATTGCATCATACTTGTGTTAAGAATGAAATTATCAGGAACATAGTGTCATATAACCACCAATTTCTTTCTCCTTTAATTCTTTTCATCTTATTTTAGCTGGAGAGAGAAATTACTTATGAGAAACTTGAAGAGTGGCTCAGTCCAGAGAAGATGATCCCAAGAGAAATAGAACTCTCCTTTCCCAAATTTAAATTGGAAGAAGAATATGATCTGAAGCCTGTTCTGAGAAGCATGGGAATGACAGATGCATTTGATGAGGACAAGGCAGACTTCTCTGGAATGTCAACTAACAATGATTTAGTCATATCTGAAGTTGTTCACAAATCATTCATAGAAGTCAATGAAGAAGGCACTGAGGCAGCTGCTGCCCCTGCTGTAGCAATGGTGGTAAAGAGTGCAGGCACTGAATTACAAATCATAGTTGACCATCCCTTCCTCTTTCTTATTAGGCAGCGATCTAGAAATAATATCCTGTTCTTTGGTAGGTATTCTTCTCCATAATGGGTGCATCCAGTATATACTGGTATAATGGCTGGCCTTTAATTCCTCATCAGATTCTTTTAAACCATGTTGTACTGAACTTTCACTATCACACTTTCGATTTCTGTAATTAGAGATAGTTCCTTCATGATACTGGATTTTAATCCTTTCTTTCCAGGATAGAATTATTTTTAATGAATTCAAGAAAATAATTTTTAGTACAGGTGTTCTGATTGGTAGATAAATCCTGCAACATTGCTTTGTTTATATAGGAATGTAGGCTGTGGGGGAGAAGTTGCTAAGCATGAATCACAACACAGATGTAACTATGTATCTGCCCAGTATACATTTCCATGCGATGATACAAGTACAGTCAACTTAGCTTTCATTGTGATATCATGTTTTGTCATTTGGGTGAACTCGTGGCTAGTTGTAGATGCCGCTGCTGAGCTTATAATAGGAAGTGTACACAGTGCTAGAATGAGTACACAGAACATATTTTTTGTGGTCATCATTTAATCAAGCAATTTGATCCTGTACAACTCAAATATCTACAAATGATATTTACCTGATATAGTTCTTATTTGGATGCAGTTTTTCATTATTCAAAATTGAAATAAAAGAGCATTTGATGATGTTGCTTTCAGATTTATTAACAGCTGGTATGGTGATAGACCCTTACATCACTATATCATGGGTCCCCAACCTCTACATCCATGACTTGGTACCAGTCCAAGATCTGTTTGGAACTGGGCCAGAAAAGCGGTGGATGAGCATGCAAGGCTTCATTTGCGCATGTCCAGGATTGAGTGCATGAACCTATCCCCTACCCTCCACCATCGCCAGTCCATGTAATCAAAAAGGTTGGGACCGCTGCTGTATATTACTCAGCTTCCATTTCACTGAACTTCATCAGTAACACCCAAATTGTATTTCAGGTAGTCCTTGACTGTAATCGAGCCTAGAATTACAGTCTTAAGTGGTTGGGTTCATAGGTCGAGGCACCATGTGACCAGATTCAGTGGTATGATAGTTATTACAATGGTCATTAAGCGAACATGCGGTTGTTAAGGAAATTCATTTTCCCCAATGGGCATTCCTCGCTGGAAACTGGAAATGAATGCTGGAAACCAGCAAAAAAAAAATTGAAAATTTTGGTCATGGGACCACAGGATGATGCAAATAGCCATAAATGTGAGTCAGTTGCCAAGTGCCCAAAATACAATCACATGACCAGAAGATGTGTGCCTGGCTGTCTTAATTCTGAAAATACATCGTAAGTAGCTCTGGGGAGGACTGTTGTACTTTCATTAAGTGACCAGTTGGAAGTTGACAACTACCTATACAGTAAAAATTGATTTGTTGGATTAATAGGATGGAATAGATATCCACCGATACCAAATGCCCGTTAAATTAACATTTTATTTTAATCATGAATAGGGCAAGGTGGATAAGAAGGCTGGCGGGTGTTGCCCCCCTCCCCTTTCTGCATCACAGCATGTCATATCCCACTGATCTATCTACCCCTCTCAAATCTTAACAACATTTAGCCTTTCTTATGCGGCTGCCACATCCTAAGGAATGACTTTTACCTGGACTCGTGTTCCAATGAGGAAGTTTGGTGTGGGGGTTAAGGCATCGGACTAGAAACCAGGAGACGAGTTCTAGTTGTGTTGTAGGCACAAAAGCAGCTGGTGACCTTGGGCCAGTCATATTCTCTCAGTCTTAAGAAGGAGGCAAAGATTTCTGAAATCTTTCCAAGAAAACTGCATGGATTAATCTGGGAGGTTGTCAAGAGTTAACACTTCTCAAAAGCACATACACACAGACACACAAAAGATCTACCAAAGAACACACTAATTGATTAAATATCTTATTGGCAGTTACATGTATAAGAGACAGTGAACAGTTAAAAAAAAGATACTTAAGTAATCGGTGTGCTCATTAATGCAAAATTTTCCCTTTGGAAGGTGGCACATGATAATTTAATCAAGGTATGCTAATTGAGCAATCTGAATTAAAATGTGTGTACAGTGCACAGTTTGTCAATATTAATTGGCTAGCTGGCTGTACACTTTCATAAAGCAGATTGCTTATTTACCTAAAAGTCATATATGGTTATAAGTAGTCTCATTTGCATAGTAACTGGATCAATATCTTCCCCTCTGCACTTAGCATGAAGATCAAGTTCGCAGCAATTAACATATCTGGCATTATTTACAAAGATGATATCAACGTCCTGTCAAAATGATTTATTGCTTTCTTTCCCCCATAATTCCTAGCCAAACAGTATGGCTAAATGAAGCTATGATAAAAGGGCAACCGTGTCTATTGTATCGTACAATGTTTGATACCAGTATTATTAAAAATATTTTTGTTTAAGGTCATTACTTTGGTTATTTGTTTATTATATTTATGGCTCTCTCTGGTCATAGTAGACTTAATGGCATAAAAAACCCCAAGAAAATGATGAGTCCTCTTTAATGACAGTGCATTTAGGTCAATGCATTGCATATTATAGGCCACCCAACCAAACAGAGGAAATACATGAACTTTTTGCTAGTCAGCTAAGGTATGTAGGAAGCACATCACAATAGTAATGGGGGACTTTAACTACCCTGACATCAATTGGGAGACAAACTCTGCACCAAGTGGAAGATCAAACAGATCCCTGACAAACCTAGCTGACAACTTTGTCTCCCAAAAAGTAGAGAAGGGAACTAGGGGATCAGTGATATTGGACTTAATTTTCACTAACAGAGATGAAACGATAGAAGGTGTTGAAGCTATATGAACCTTGAAGGGGAGTGATTATGCAATACTGGAATTCAACATTATGCAAAAACAAGCAATAGAACATAGTCAAACTAGAGTCTTGGACTTTAAAGAAGATAATTTCAATAAACTTAGAGACAGATTGGCAAGGATTCCATGAATAAGAATTCTCATGCGGAAAAACAACTCAAGAAGCTTGGGAAATTTTGAAAAGTGAGATTATAAAAGCCCACCATACCAATGAAGTAGAAAAATAAAGCTCTCAAAAGAAACCAGCATGGCTGCATAAAGACCTCTCTGATAAATTGATAAACAAAAAGGATAAATATAAAAAGTGGAAAGAGGGGCATATAACTAAGGCAGAATGTCAGCAAATAGCCCGAGCCTGCAAAGATGAAGTGAGGAAAGCTAAGGCTCAAAATGAACTAAGGCTTGCAACAAAAGCAAAAAAAAAAAAAAAAAAAGCTTATTTCAACATGTAAAAAACAAGAAAAAAATTAGGAAATGATTGGTCCATTAAGGGGAGAAGGTGGCAAGAAGGTGACAAGCAACAGGGAGAAAGCAAGACTATTTAACTTGTTTTTGCACCCATCTCTACACAAAGGAAAAAACAATCCAACCAATCAAAAACAGTACCGTAAAAAACAGAGTAGAAACACAGGTTAAGATAGACAAGAAAATGGTAAGTGAGCACCTGTCCACCTTAGAAGAGTTCAAATCACCAGGACCAAATGGATTATAACCCCAGGTTCTGAAGGAACTGGCAGATGTGATCTCAGAATCATTGAATATATCTTTCAAAGATCCTGGAGCACCGGGAAACTACCAGAGGACTGGAAAAGAGCCTGACCTCAATACCTGGGAAGATTCTGGAAAAGATAATCAAGCAACGAATCAGCAGACACCTAGAGGCAAACAAAGTCATGACCAAAAGCCAACATGGGTTTGTCAAAAACAGATCTTATTGCATTCATTAACCAGGTGACAAAATTAATGGACCAAAGGAATGCTGTGGCTATAATTTATTTGGATTCCAGTTAAGGTATTTGATAAAGTAGACCACAACCTAGTTATTCTGGATCCTGAACTGAGTTGCCTTCCAATTCAGACCCAGACAAATAATGCAACAAAATGGATTTAAACAATATTTAATCCGGGAATCCTTAACAGAAACTTACATTCCTGAAGATTCATCCAGTAGTGAACATTTGTCTATTATGTCGGTAAAATCAATAATTCCTCCATATTCACTTTGCCTGATTACATTCGATGTCCATGCATGCTGCATGGTTAGTTTGCACAAAGACAATTAAACACAACCTGGCCCGTAGCCAGGATATTCTGAGATGATGTTAGAGGCTCCTCCTACTGACCTGTTAACATGCGATAGCTGACTAGCTAAAACTACATTACCCATAAGCCATCTCTTAAGGAGACAGCGCTTAACCCGATAAATGCCAAACATTATAACATGCAGGTCTATCTACCTGATCGGTCCAGAACACTAGTACTTGAGAAGATAGAAAAATGTGGGTTAGACAGCATCACCACCAGATAGATTCGTAGCTGGTTGACCAGCCATATTCAGCGTGTAGTCCTCAATGGAACTGAATCTACATGGAGGGAAATGTGTAGTGGAGTGCCCCAGGGCTCTCTTCTGGGCACAGTGCTCTTCAACATCTTCATCAATGATTTGGATGATGGGATAGATGGAGAACTCATTAAATTTGGAGACAACACCAAGCTGGCAGGAATAGGCAACACTCCAGAAGATAGGCTTAACATACAGAAGGATTTTGACAGACTTGAACATTGGGTGCTATCTAACAAAATGAAATTCAATGGTGAAAAAGTGAGGTTCTACATTTAGGCAAGAAAAACCAAATGCACAGGTACAGTATAGGTGGTACCTTGCTCAATAGTAGTAACTGTGACAGGGATCTCAGAGTCCCAATGGACAATCACTTAAAAATGAGGCAGCAATGTGCTGCAGCTGCCAGAAAAGCCAACACAGTGCTAAACTGCATTAACAGAGGTATAGAATCAAGATCATGTGAAGTGTTAATATCACTTTATAATGCCTTGGTAAGGCCACACTTTAAATACTGCATCCAGTTTTGGTCACCACAATGTAAAAAAGATATTGAGACTCTAGAATGAGTACAGAAAAGAGCAACAAAGATGATTAGGGAACTGGAGGCTAAAACATATAAGGAACAGTTGCTGGAATTGAGTATGTCTAATTTAATGAAGAGAAAGATGACATGATAGCAGTGTTCCAATATCTCAGGGGTTGCCACAAAAAAGAGGGAGTCAAGCTATTCTCCAAAGCACCTGAAGGCAGGACAAGAAGCAATGGAAACTAATCAAGGAGAGAAGCAACCTAGAACTAAGGAGAAATTTCCTGACAGAACAATTAATCAGTGGAATAACCTGCCTCCAGAAGTTGTGAATGATCCAACATTGAAAGTTTTTAAGAAGAGACTGGACAACTATGTGTTTAAAATGGTATAGGGTTTCTTGCCTGAGCAGGGGGTTGGACTAGAAGATCTCCAAGTTCCCAACTCTATCATTATTGTTGTTGTTACACGTAACAGATACAATAATGCATGGCTTATATGAACTGAAGACAAAATATACCCGTTTTTAATGGACTCTGATCTAAAGTCACAAATGTAAAGAGCCCTAGAAATTATTGCACATTTTCCAGATTTTTCTTCTTTGCACTTGTAAATTAAAATAGATAAATATGAACCTGATTTGGAGGGGGGGCTCAAACATATGATTAATTTTACATGAATCTACTTTAAGCAACTAAAACCTTGACAAATGATGCTTTCTCTATTGTTGCACTAATAAATAAAATTAAAAAATATAAACTGTTTGGCTTTTTAACTGTGCCTTATCAATCTCTTTTATAGAGAGTTAGGAGAGACAGTCCCTACGTGACCTGGCTTCTGCATCACTCAACCTGGTGCACAGGTTGGCAACCTGCGGCTCCGGAGTCGCATGCGGCTCTTTGAGCCTTCCCCTGTGGCTCCCAGCCTCCTCTGCCTTTGCAGAGAGAGACAGAGACAGAGAGAGGCAATTGCACTTCCCTGCTTCTCTCTCTCTCTCTCTCTCTCTGTGTGTGTGTGTGTGTGTCTGGGTGTATGTGTATGTGTGTCTGTGTGTATGTGTAAAAGAGAGTGCACTCACAGTGTTCTCCGAGGAGCTGAAAAGCTTACTGGGCGGAGCTCCTCCCTTTGCTGCGTCTCTGCAGGAAGCAGGAAGCAGGAAAGGCAGGAGAGAGCTAGCTAGCCCAGCTAGGCTGACTCAGGGATTCTGGGAGTTGAAGTCCATGAGTCATAAAAGAGACGAGGTTGCCTACCCCTGAGCTTGTTGGATAACAGTTTGAAGCTTACCAGGTGAGCAGCAGATAGGAGAGGGGGGGAGAGGGAGAGAGAGAGGGGGGAGAAGAGGAGTGGCAGACCAAGGGCAGATAGAGAGGGAGGGAGGGAGACAGAGAGAGAGAGACCCTTTTGACATCTAAAATGAAGATAACACTGGATATATCCTTTTTTTACCTCTGTGTGTATGTAATTTTATTCTCTTAAAGCATTCTCTTGGTGATCATTGTTTTAATAGTATGGATATTCCCAAGAGTCATATTTTTACTTTCATTTTTAATGTGTATATATACATATACATATATATACACACACACACACATACAAACACACCTATAATAAAGGTAAAAAAGGATATATGCAGTGTTATCTTCATTTTAGATATCAAAAGGGTTTTGCGGCTCCAGGTGTTTTGTTTTTGGTGGGAAACCGGTCCAAGTGGCTCTTTGAGTGTTTTGGGTTGCCTACCCCTGACCGGGTGGATCAGTTGTCTCTTATACTAGGTGTCATCAAAATGTTTGGAGAAACAGTGTGTTCATTTAAGATAAGTTCCAGTGAAATTCTTCTGGGTGCAGCAACTGCTGATTCAGCCTAGGGAGCGAATGGTGCAATCAATCTTGACATAATCTTTGCACATAGACCATCATTTGTTCACATGCAAATATCTAAATTGCTTTGGGCCTTCATTCCACCAACAGGCTATAGGAACTGCTGCAGTAGCATTTACTTTGATTTCCACAACTAATTTGGGATATATTTTTTTTAGAAAAATATATTAAATTTATATTGATGATTTAGGAGAAAAATGTTATTCATGTTTTTTGCCACTGATTTGCCACAGCCCTCTCATTGTACCTTCAGATTCTAATTTAGATTCTTCAATCAAGGCATTTTAGACCCATGTTCTGAATCTCTACATGTTGTGTTGAAAATTGGATGATGAAGAAGGTATGTTTGCAATCTTGAATTATTTATAAAGATGGAAGAAAAATAATAAAATAACCTAGTAGAGTCTAACGTCTGGATGGAAAGATCCACGTAGTTTCCTTGGCATAAGGTACAAATATTTCAATCCCACCTTCTTCCAGGACGCTTTTCTCTAATTTCAATCCAGCCTTTCGGTTGGTCTTGTAATGCAAGACTCATCCCGCTTAGCTGAGCTTAGTTCAGTCAAAACCTGCAAGGATAGCCTTTTATTGCTAGTCTCTGGACAGTGCGATTAATAAAAGGTAGAAGCCAGAGCACGTTGAATCCTATTGCGAGTCTCTCAGTATTTCTTTGCCAACCGCGATAAGGGAAAAAGTTCCGTTTTCCAAGGAATCATGACGCTTCCCTTTCCGATTCCGCGGGCAAGAGCCCTTCCCTGCCAGCCACTTCTGCACATGCTCAGTGCAAAGGGTTAGGCAAGCTAACGCCGGCGGCTGGAAGCCGACGCCCTGGAGGTATCCTTTTAAAGGCAAGGCGAAACCCGACCGCTCTTTCACACCACGAAGCGCATTCACAATTCGGCAGGCCGCTCGCACACCCCCGCCCCCCCCCCGCCTGGGAGGATATTGCAAAGAGGGAGACGTGGAAGAAAGGAAGTTTGTGGCAAGCGCCTGAAGCAATTTCGCCCCGGCCTGCAGGTTGCAAACTCTTTTCTAGAGGGCTGGCCCGCGGAAGAACCTCTCTTTTCGGCCTCTTTCCAGTTAGTGAAAAGACTTCTCTCTAGGTAAAAAGAGCCCTCAGCCACGATTGGCATTCAGCATTGCAGGGAAAGTTCACAGGGCGTTCAGCTGGGCTGCCGGGTTGCCAGCTGTCTTTAAGGAAGGCGTGGATTGGTGGTTTGTAGCAGCAAAGGGAGGCTGTGACTATTTAAAAGCCCTCTCCCAAAGGGCTAGTTGTGAACATCTGCCCTTTCCACGTCTGGATTTCTTTCCTGCCCTTCCTCCTTCCCTCTCTAGGGGGTTTTCGCGGCGGTGTGCGGTTAGGTTGTTGAGTCAACCCAGGCAGGGAAGAACCTCAACATTATTCATTTTGCTTCTTCCAGGATTTATTGCAGCGTCACTGGCCTTTCTCTCCAACCAGACGTCTCCAGTAACTGCCCTAGCAGCCCAGAATACTTACCTTTTCCAGGTACAACCATTGTACGTTTCTTTCTGACCTCTTCTGGAGGTGCCACATAAAGGGTTGATTGACAGTTTGCTGGGGCTCTCTTGGTTGGCACATTGTTGTATGAATACTTACATATGCCGGTGGTAAGAGTCGATGCAGCTGTACAGTTCCGTTGAGTAGAGGAGTATCCCCCCCATCTGGCAGAATGAAAAACTTAATAGAATTTAATAAAATTGCTACTTTCCTACTCTATCTTATATATGCTGCGATGGCAGGGACTTAGGGTAGCTGTTCTTGTTCTGTAATATGGGAGCTAGCATTTGATTTTTCTAAAACTTCTTAATTACCCTGCAGTGAATAGACAGACATTTGCTTGAATAACAGGTAAGTGATAAAAATTTCAGTGGAAGCTGTGCTAGACATATTGGGAGACAAACCTAAAGTCTGTTATTGACAGTATTTGTTAACTAAGAGCTACAAAATAGCATCCGACTTTTTGGATTCTCCGAAATAATTCATTTAAGACAAGAGGTAGATTATGCAATTCTCTAGACTCTTATTATTTAAAAGACACCTCTATCTTCTTAACTATTCTTTTGATCTTCATGTTTGTTTTGCTGTTTAGCACATGCATCTGATTACTTGATATTTTGAGACAGCCTGTTTGTAGTGTTGCTATAAAGTAGGGTCTCATCTAAGTCCACAGACAGAAGTTTCATTGTCTGGCTTGAAAGATGACCATTTTTCTCTGCTTTCTTTCGATTTTCTTTTTTATATGAGCATTTATATTACCTAATATATGTACTTTAATATGCTATGGTATCTTGAACAATATTGATGCATTCAGAAGACTGAGTGGTTCTCAACCTATGGTCCATGGACCCCTGGGGGGCACAATGTCATCACGGGGGGGGGGGTGTAAGCGAAGGCTTGAAGAAAGGTTATTTTGATTTAAATCTTGACTTTAAATCTTGGGGCTCTATGGTCATGGTCCATGGCCACAAAAGATATTTAAAGGGGGTCCATGGTGAAGAAAGGTTGAGAAACCCTGGAGTAGGTGATTAATGTAAAAAAAAAAGTACATAGTAAAATGAATCAAGGCCCTGGATAATAATTTCTGATTAAACTATATGATAGGTACTTTATAGCAGAGGTCCCCAACCCTGGCCCACTATCAGGCTATGGCCTATTCAGAAACAGGACGCACAAGGGTAAGCGGTGGGCACGCACTTGCATGGCTTGACTTGCACAAATGGCAGATCAGCGCACATGCACACACTGCCTAGTTCAACTTGCACAAGTCGAGCTGTGCACACATGCATGTGTGTGCAGGTCTGCAGATTGTGCAAGTTGAGCTGTGCATTTGCACCGACCCACCATTCGTGCAGGCTGGTTCCCCTCTCTCCCCCCCCCCCATCCTAAACAGGCCTCCAGGTTGCAAAAGTTGAGGAGTGCTGCTTTATAGCATGGGTGTGTAAAAAAGGAATGTTTGATTATTGGCTGTAAAACTGATAAGTTGCCTTCCTGAGGATTTTAAGAATTAAAGCCAAAGAACAGTCAGGGAAGTTAGACAACAGTGATTCTCCAGTGTTTTATTTTTATTTTTTTTATTTTTAAATATTGGTGTTTAACCACTGCCACTTTGATTCCTGGTGACTACCTTTACAAATCCCTGCTGTTTTCTGGACAAAGCTTTTTGGAACTGGTATGCCATTATCTGCTTCCTGAGAGAGAGGGACTGACCCAAAATCATCCAGCTGGTTTCATGCATGTGACAGAGCTAGAATTCACAGTCCCAAGTTTCTGGCCTGGTGCCTTAACTGGTATATCTAAACTGGCTCTATTTTTAATATTTTTTTAAATTTAACTGCTTTAAGTATAAAATTAAGATGAGTACTTGCTGACCTTCCCCTAAACCAGGGGTAGGCAATCTTGGCTCTTTTATGACTTGTGGACTTCAATTCCCAGAATTCCTGAGCCAGCATGGCTGGCTCAGGAATTCTGGGAATTGAAGTCCACGAGTCATAAAAGAGCCAAGGTTGCCTACCCCTGCCCTAAACTGTAGAATAAGTGCATTAAGACAGACAGCAATTTCGTTGCAATAGTGTTTTTCTGTTTATGGAGTTCATTCTTGCTCTGTGTGTTGTGGAAATCATCTATGAAATTGTAGCTGCTCCTCCTCCCCACAACCTGATCACCGCAAGATGGAAGGAAAAAGAAAGAAACAAAAAATTTTTATTCTTTACTGCCATCTAGGGGTCATCTGGATATTTGCAGCCTGGAAATAGGCACACTTCCTTTCTCTCATTTTTTTCTTAAGTTTTTTTCAAGTATTAAGCATTTTTCTTCTCCAGGACTGTTTTGTACCACATGAATAATGCAGATATCCTCACTTCCCATCATTTAGCTTTTGTATCCTTGCTGTAGAATTGTCACAAGGTTGGGGAGGAGGGCTCTTTCCATTTCATTAGCTTTGTGCCAACATTCTACTTTCTTCCACATAGGGAGGCCCTGTTGTTATCTTTGGAATTATATCTGAATCTGTTCTGTCCCCGCCTACGTGAGTCCTTGTTAAGCTCACAAGGAGAAACCCTTCTTCCAACAAGCTGGCTGGAACCGCGGGGGAAAAAAACCAATCCCCTTTTATTACTTACAGACCTGAATAAATGTCCAAAGGCAAAAGAAACACAGTTTACTGAAACTTGATTCCTTAACACGAACAGTTGCCTTCAGCAACCAGCACCTCCCACACCTTCCCTTTTATTATGCAGCCAAGGCGTGGTCTCTAATGCCTTCTCCTTTACCTTTGGAGCCACCCCATTGCAATCCTCTGTCCGACTCTCTTGGCTTGCTGGCGTTTAAGTGTCTCCTGGATATCTTCCAGCTGTGAGTTATCACTGTCCAACTCAGATTCCCAGCACAGCTGTGTCTCAGCCTCAGCGCGAGTAGAGGGGCCAGGCTCCTCGTCAGACTGTAAGTCTTGGAGCTCATTAGAGCCTTCCTCTGACTCTGATGTCACTCCAGGCCCCTCCTCCTCCTCCTCTGATTCCCCAGACTCAGCTGCCAGGTCCACTGGCTGATGAGGAATTACAACAGAATCTGCAAGTGAGTTCTCTACATATTCAGAATAGAATAGAATAGAATAGAATAGAATAGAATAGAATAGAATAGAATAGAATAGAATAGAATAGAATAGAATAGAATAGAATAATAGACTAGACTAGAACTAGACTAGACTAGAACAGAACCTTGGAGGCCTTCTAGTCCAGCCTCCTGCTCAAGCAGGAGAACCTATACCATCTCAGACAGGTGAATTTCCAGTTTCCTCTTAAAAATCTCCAGTGATGGAGCGCCCACAATTTCACAAAATTGTTCAAGTAGAACACAAAATAGTTTCCTGGGTGGGGGTGTTTCAGTCATTATTTAGGAGCTAATCTATGGTTTGTCATACTATATTTGTTGTCTAGGCTCTGAAACATGGACAGCCTTTCTGCAGCAAACACCACCTTTGCCCTCAACCTCTTCAAGAAGCTTAGTGCAAATGATCCTACCAAGAACTTGTTTTTTTCTCCTTTGAGTATGTCTTCTGCGCTGCTAATGGTCTCGTTGGGTGCCAGAAGTAACACAGAAGCTCAGATGTTAAAGGTAAATCAAGATACATTTTATTAAAAGGGAAAAAGGGGGGTTGGCTAGGAGGTGGTCCCTACCCTTGGTAGCCAATTATGACAATGTCTAATTTGTTTATTACATTTAAATGTTGCCCATGTTGCAGTCATGCAGCTCTAGGTGACCATGACCTGCACTAGAAAGTTCCAAGTACACCTATCAACTCAACCTGGCTACACTCTTAAGATGATGCTGTTCATGAAATTGCCTAGTGTCTGATTAGCTTTTGAAAACTGCAACCTGCAGAAGGAGTGCTGCTGTTATTGGGACTCTTTAATTCTGCTCCCAATGCCATTCTCATCCAGATTTGGGACTCAGTTTGCACGAGGAGGGGGAGAAGCTCCTATTTGCTTGGAATGCAAACAGCATGCATAGGAAGTGCAGTAGGGATTCAGTCCTCTGGGCCTAATTTTTTAAAAGCCATTCATGCAGTTGCTAACCATGTAGATCAGGGGTTCTCAACCTTGGCATCTTTAAGACTTGTGGACTTCAACTCCCAGAATTCCTCAGCCAGCTTTGCTGGCTGAGGAATTCTGGGAGTTGAAGTCCACAAGTCTTAAAGTTGCCAAGGTTGAGAACCCCTGATGTAGATGGTATTATTTGGGACAAAAGTTGTTAACTTTTGAAGTTCCAGAGTTTGAAAATCCATTTTGTGGAAAATCCATTGTGCGGAAAATCCATTGTGCTGAATTGTGGTAATTCACCACAATTATCAAAAATCAGAAGGAAAATTTATGGCATACTCTGGTAGGCAAAACATTCCACCTCCAGAGTAAGACCTAAAATGGACATTAAAAAAAAAAATAGGAACTTGGGGAGTTGGGAGATGGACACAGAATGTTTGTGCTTCAATGTTTGTGCTTCAATCTTGGATACCCATAGCATTCATTTATTTCTCAAGTTTATAGACTGCCCAGAGTCATTATGAATTTTAAAAAATGCAAAATACAATTAAAATCAAAAAGAAGAAAGTAACACAGGCCTATGCAACACATTAACAGAATCCACTCCTGTGATATCCATTTCTTAGCTCTGCACCTGCAGAAAAAAAAAACAATTCTTCAAGGCCATTTAAAAAATGGCTTGGTCAGGGGAACTTGACCCTTGAGGGGAAATGGTTCCAGAGCACAAGTATCATGATGAAGAAGGCAAAATGCGGCACTATGTTAAAGGTGGGACCTGGAGCAACTCTGTCGTATTCCATTGAAACAATGGGAGAAAGGTGACCCTGGAGCTACATGCCATGAAGATGTCATAGATGGCAATCAGACCTTGAATTTCATCAAGGCATTTATGGATAACTTTCACAGCTGCTGCAGGAGAGGTGTGCCTATACCTGCCTATATTGCTCAATTCTGGGTCAGCGGCAGTTTCTGAGTGGTTTTCAAGAATAGCTCTAAGAGGTGCAATTTGCAGCAGCCGACGTGTGAGGCCATTGTGGAATGAATGACTAAGAGAAGGGATTTCCAGTCCAGGAAAAGGTGCGGTTTGTGCACCACACAAATCTAGACAAAGCTTCTTCCCAAGCCACTGCTAGACCTTGTCAGCTATTAACTTAAAAAGCTATACATGTGCAAGTGAGCTCCAAATTATATGGAGACCATTTGTAATGTGCAAGCTTTTCCAAGCTTTTATTGTATTATATTTTGAATTGATTTTGAACATAATTTGATTGTCCATATATCATCTTATAGGTGCTATCTGTATCCAAAGATGGAGAGGTTCACCAAAGATTTGAGAAACTCATTTCTGAAATCAACAAACCAGGTGCCAATTACAGCCTCAGTCTAGCCAACCGGCTCTTTGGAGAAACATCATATGATTTTCTTGAAGTAAGTAACATGCATGTTGGAGAACTGGCTAGAAACAACCATAAATGCTCTCTTTGTTCCAATGTTTGCCTATCTCATTGGAACTGCAGGAGCTATACTCCTATAGCTTTACTTTGGTCAATTGAGTTATCTGAAGGGGGAATTAAAAGGCCAATTGCTTTTACTGGGAATGTTACAGGAACACTCAGTAAGATTTTAGCATCCTAAATATAGAAAAGGCAAAATAGAACTATGTAACCCATAATTGCCAGATATATTCTTGAATAAACAAATTGTATTAGCTATCCAGTGGCACTGGCTGTTTGTAAAGTGTATTCGGTGTAATAAATAATGTTTCCAGACTGTTAATTCATAGAAGCATGGAACAAAATCAGTTCTTGCTCTTTTGTGTTGCTTCCATTACTGAGATGTCATTGTTTCTTAAGTTATTTCTAGAATCCACTCAGAAATTCTACCATGCAGGTCTGGAGAAACTTAACTTTAAGCAAACTGCAGAAGATTCACGAAGACATATAAATGCCTGGGTAGAAGAAAAAACCGCAGGTGAGAATGATAATAGAGTTAATTAGTTGCATTAAGAAAGATATGCAATAATGTGCATGCATTGGAGAGAGACAGACAAGGCAGGCAGTCCTAACATAGTTAACCGTTACTTGCTACATCAAAGCCCATCAAACCTCTCATGAAATTCTAAGCCAAGAACAGATGCTTGATTTGATTGATGGGCATATCTGAGCATATTTCAGTTATTTAACTTGCCTGTTGTTTAACTTGTGTATGTATGGTTACCTTTCTAAATAGCAATATAAGATGGGCAACTATATAAATGTTAAGGGAAGATGGATGGATGGATGGATGGATGGATGTTGGATTGACTCTGAGGAAGCAAAACTATATTTCATCCTAAGTCAGAGGAGCTTTTTGGGTAACCGCCTTGAGGGCCTGAAAGTGGATCAAGATAAAAGTCTAATAATTAAATAAAAATGGCTCTATTTTGGTTTGCCTACAAGCATGTCCATGATTTGCTAAGTATTCCAATGAGTGAGAAAGGGAAGGAGGGAGGGAGGGGGGGGAGAGAGAGAGAGAGAGAGAGAGAGAGAATGAATAAACCATAACCATAAATCTTACAAGTGGGTTGTTAAGAATTTTTGTGCAACATTATGCCTATAAAAGTATCTGTCAATTAAAGCAGGTGTTTTTTTAAACTCTCAAAAGGTAAAATTCAGAATCTGCTTGCCCCGGGAATAATTAATTCACTTACAAAACTGGCTTTGGTGAATGCTATCTATTTCAAGGGAAACTGGGCAAATCAATTCAACAAAGATTACACAGAAGAAAAGCCATTCCACATTAACAAGGTATTCATTTGTTGACAAATAAAGAGACATCTGAATATTTTAAATTGCATTGTTTTGCATATATCTGAAGCAAGTCTGGGATTAATTTGAAACATTCCTTTAGCAAATAAATTGCTTACTCCTTATATTTTTATTGATCGTCATGGAAATAGATCAGTGGTTCTCAACCTTTCTAATGCCGTGACCCCATAATACAGTTCCCCATGTTGTGGTGACCCCCAAGTGGGTGTGGCCACCAATAAGAGGGAGTAGGACAGCTAGGGAAAAGGGAAAAAAATGGCGGACTGCGTGGTTTGGCGACCCCTGTGAAATGGTCATTCGACCCCAAATGGGGTCCCGACCCACAGGTTGAGAACCACTGAAATAGATGAATCATTAAGATCAGTCATCTTGAGACATTCAGGCTTTGTGTGTAGAAATTTAGACTTTTCAGTCATTGAAATTTTTTACGTAGGGATTTCTAATGCAGCACCACTCCCACTGATTTTGTGTGATTAACCATAATGACTACAGAGTATTTGTGATTAGCAAATATATTTGCTGAGTATAAGGTTCCTTTATGTATGATCACCTGGAAGTATTCGATGGAGGACGAACAGGCACAATATGTTTCTATGTTGCTATCCACAAAGGAGGCTAGTTTTGATATTATAAACATCTGTTCATTTGAGAAAATTGCTGATTAAAGCCACAGCACAGCTCAACTTGCACAAGGGGAGGGCCAGTGGGCAATCGGGTGCCTGCGCACCACAAGTTGCCTACATACCTCTCACACAAGTTGAGCTGCACATGTGTGCGCCAACCCACCACTCGAACAAGGGCTGCATGCCCCCAGTCCCCATTTTCCCACCCCAGCTGGGCTGCTGAGTCGCAAAAGTTGGGAACCACTCGTATAGACAAGTACAATATAGGCAAGAAGTAGATCAACTGGCCCTGTGGTGCAGCCAGAGCAATCTGGAGCTGAACGCTTTTAAGATGATAGTAGATTTTAGAAGAAGCTCTCCTATTCTACCACCTCTTGCAATATTAGGCAACACAATATCAATGGTAGAGACCTTCAAGTTTCTAGGTTCTATTATCTCCAAGGACTTGTCATGGACACCTAAAATTAGAACCATCATTAAAAAGGCACAACAAACAAGGTTCCTCCTGTGTCAAGTTAGAAAGCTCAAATTGCCCATGAATCTGCTGATACAGTTCTACAGAGGAATTATTGAGTCTGTTGTTTATACTTCAATAGCTGTCTGGCTTGAAACAGCAAACAAACAGGACAGGTACAGACGTTATCGGATAGTTAGGACTGCAGAAAAAACCATTGCAACCAGCCTGACTTCCGTTTAGGATCTGTATACTGCACAAACCAGAAAGAGGACTGAGAAAATATCTACAGACGCCTCACATCCTGGACATAAACTGTTTCAACTCCTCCCAACAGGACGTTGCTATAGAGCATTGCATGCCAAAACAACTATATATATATATATAAAGATAGGTTTTTTTTTTTCATTTCCCTTCATTCTCCATTCTCATCTTTCCTACTATCTTCTCCTATTAGTTTCTCATGGTTTATCAATTGTTAGTAACTTATGAGTAATTTGTGACTGTGATTTATGACCTATTATTTCCTGTTTATATGTACACTGTGAGCTTTACATGGGAGACAAATTCCTTGTGTGTCCGATCACACTTGGCCAGTAAAGAATTCTATTCTGATTTGATTCAAAAGTCGAAGCTAAAGATGAAAGTCCCAAAGATGTTTTTTTCATGGGGCAACTGGACTTCCTTGGTTTTCTTTGAAGGCGTTTCACTTCTCATCCACAATCACTCTCTAAAACAGGGGTAGTCAACCTGGCTCTTTTATGACTCGTGGACTTCAACTCCCAGAATTCCTAAGCTGGCTCAGGAATTCTGGGAGTTGAAGTCCACGAGTCATAAAAGAGCCAAGGTTGACTACCCCTGCAAAAGAATGCCAGTGACCAGCTGTCTGCAAGGAGTATAAATCCTTCCATTCCCCACCATCTAATCTGAGCTGAAGAAGTTTCTTGCATGAGAAGCAAAATGTCTTCAAAGAAAAACAAGAAAGTCCAGTTGCCTCTTGAAAAAAAAAAAAACACCTTTGGGACAACCATCACCTGGATGACAGAGAATCTCCATAGACGCTAAAGATGAAACATTTAAGGGGGGGGGGGAAACCCAGACTAAATACATGATAGAATTATTTGTGTTTCCTATTTATTTGAAATATTTCTTCTAACCTAGATTTTCTTCCCTTGTAGAATGAAACCAAAACAGTGCAGATGATGTTCAGAAAAGGGAAGTACAACATGACCTACATATCGGACTATCGGACTTCAATTCTTGAGATTCCATATGTTGGCAATGAGTTGAGCATGATCATTCTGCTTCCTGAAAAGATTGAAGATAACTCTACTGGGTTGGAAAAGGTGAGTTTATCTTTCATGAAACAGGATTTAAACCCTGGTCCATCTGAAAACTTCGCTGATAATAACTGTAAGCTGTCCTTTTTTATATCAAAGCTTGGCTTTCTGCAATTATAGTTAGTATTATTGGTTGACTTGTATTTTCCCCTATTTTGAAAAGATGCAAAAAAAAAAAACCACCTCAAATGCACAAGCTAATGCAGTTATGTCTCAAACCATTGGAAACACAATGTGATTCCACTGATGTAATCAAGGCAATTGATAAGGTTGCCAAGAAGTATACAATACTTCTTCTGATAGTACAAGGGATTCATTAAGAACTAGTTGCTTAAGATAGATTATGCTATTGTATCATCTTCTCTAACTGCCCCAAACAAAGAAGGGCTATATTGTCTGAAATAAATTGAGTCCATCTCCAAAGGATGAGATAAATGGGATATGTCTGGAAAAGAATTTTCTCTCAGCTACACCATATCCTTTCCATAGAAACCTGGTTAGTGTCCATTCTTATCTTTCTGATACAAGCCAAAACCATGTTTTGCACATTCACAGAGTAATTTTACCTCTGATGATTGTAAAGGTAGCTCTTGACTTAATGACCATTCATTTAGTGACCATTCAAAATAATAATAACAATAAGCCCTTTATTATCAAAGTATAACATGTATACAGTGAAATTGGCTGAGCCTCCCTCTGTGCCCCCCTCACCACAAACTCACGGTGACTACAACCCGCAACTTATTTCACCCTGTGAACTAATTGCACCTCATGCTGGCCTCACAAGTCTGTCATACATAACATTATAAAGTTAAGACGGTGCTGAAAACACCCTGGTCCTCATACGACTGTCATACCATTCCCCCATGTTCATGCGATTGCAGATTGGGTACCTACCAAATAACTCACATTTACAACTGATTGCAGTGTCCTGCAGTCTCATGATTATGATTTGTGACCTTTTATGCCAGTTTCCAGCCAAAAAACCCTCAACAATTCGCGCTTAAGACAACCACAGAGTCTTAACTGTCGTGATTTTCTTAACATCCATCATAAAAATTGTAAAATTGGGTCCAGCTTGACTTACGACCACAATGATTATGACAGAAATTCCAATCCCAGTTGCTGTGATCATAAGTTGAAGATTACCTATAGTGACTATTTTAGCATCCCTTTTGATTGATATTCTTTGGCTATATCTTCATATTTGTTCTTAGCTGTGTTTTACTTAAAATTGGAGAACTGTAGCTATGCTGTAACCGAGAGGTTTTAGAATTAAGAAAATCAATACAAAACATTCAACTGTTAAATTTGTCCAAGATACTAGGCAAACAGCAATGCCTGACAGCAGAAGAATTTATTTTATTTTATTTTTGCAATCTGAAGTGGAAAGTTTAGATTGGAAAAAAAGTATGGAATGCTAGTTTAAGTAATCTGGGTCACCGAGATAGCTTTATGAAAGTCTTTATAAACATATAAGGAAACTTGAAATTTCTCCTATTTCAGTTGAAAGGTAGTAGTCAAAATAGTGTCACGGGTGTTATAAAATGGCCATGTGGGTGTCCATGTGTTCCCATAGTTAATTTGCCTTTTGATTTCCACTGCAAATGAATCTTTATATTTCATATAGGATGATAATAATTTCAATTTTAACAACCATAGTCATTGGCATTTATATGTCCAAAAATAGAGGATTTACAAACATCTGCTTCTTTTTCTTGGCAAGCTTCAAAATACCTTTTACTGCATTCTAACAGTGCTCTATACTCGTTAAGGTTAGTAGAAGCTTTCTGTCACTAATAAGAAAACAGGTACTGACATGGTTCTAAGGCAGGGGTTCTCAACCTTGGCAACTTTAAGACTTGTGGACTTCAACTCCTGGAGTTGAAGTCCAACTTCTTCAACTACTGGAGTTGTGGACTTCAACTCCTGGAGTTGAATTCTGGGAGTTGAAGTCCACAAGTCTTAAAGTTGTCAAGGTTGAGAACCCCTGTTCTAAGGTTTACCCTATTTTTGTGACTTTTAATTATCTTTCCTAAAGTTCTAGAATAGGTGGCAAACTCGCAACGTCACATGGTGTGTCGCGACATATTGCGACTTTTTCCCCATTGCCGGAGCTGGGGTGGGCGCAGTTTCGCTATGATGCATCCGGCCAGTGGGCTGGCAGTTTGACACCCTGTTCTAGAAGGAATAGAAGAATTTGCAACTGCTTGTAAGATTTCAGGATTTTTCTATTATTGCATCGTACTTGTGTTAAGAATGAAACCATCAGGATACCTCATAGTGTCATATAACCAGGAATTCCTTTCTCCTTTAATGCTTTTCATCTTATTTTAGCTGGAGAGAGAAATTACGTATGAGAAACTCATAGACTGGATCAATCTAAGGATGATGGACCTAAGAGAAATTGAACTCTCCTTTCCCAAATTTAAACTGGAAGAAGAATATGACCTGAAGCCTGTTCTGAGAAGCCTGGGAATGACAGATGCATTTGATGAGGGCAAGGCAGACTTCTCTGGAATGTCAACTAACAATGATTTAGTCGTATCTGAAATTGTTCACAAATCATTCATAGAAGTAAATGAAGAAGGCACTGAGGCAGCTGCTGCCACTGCTGCTATAATGATGATGAGGTGTGCAATGTTTGTGCCAGAATTCAAAGCTAACCATCCCTTCCTCTTCTCTATTATTCAACGAGCTACAAACAGCGTCCTGTTCTTTGGTAGATTTTGTTCTCCCTAATGAGTGCATTCTACCTATGTTGATTAAATGCCTTAATTCCTCATCAGGTTGTTATAAGCCAGTTTTCCCATCACCACACATTTGATTTTTTTTCTGTATTTGGGGTATAGTTCCTTCCAGTAATATTCAGTTTTAACACTTTCCAGGATAGAATTATCTTTAATGAATTCCAGAAAATAATTTTAGTACACGTTTCTAGTGTTCTGATTGCTAGATAAAGCCTTCAAAATTGCTTTGAGGTTTATGGGAATTTGGGATGTGGGGGAGAAGTTACTAAGCATGAATCAAGCTATCACAACATAGATTTATCTATGTATCCGCTCTGCGTACATTTCCATCTGATGATACATGTACTATACAATCAATTCAGCTTGCCTTATGACCTCATGGTTTCTCATTTTGGTGATGTCATGGCTAGCCAATGATGCCTCTGCTGAGCTTATAATAACAAGTGTAAACAGTGCTAGAATGAATACACATAACACATTTTTGTGGTTATAAATAATAGTTGAGAAATATGAATCCTATCTTGGAACTCAAAATGTATGGATTATTTAATCAAGCAATTCTATTGTATGCAATTCAGATATCTACCAATTATATTTACCTTATACGGTTCTTATTTTGATACAGCTTTTCGTGTATTCAAAATTGAAATAAAAGCATTTGATTATTGCTATCAGATTTACTATCGGCTACTGTGGTGATAGAGCACTTTATTTCTGAGCTCCGGTATCACTGAAATTGATTAGATTTACACACTTTGAGCCATCATTTATTAACTCTTATTACAATAGAATGAGATTACACAATACACTAAGGCAAAGCTAAACAAATCTCTTAACATGAATGAAAATGGCAAATATACTGAAAGATGTATTTATTACAATGTACGTTCACCCAGTTTTAAACAAAAGTGGGGATTTTATCTTGCATAATGTTTATTGTAAAGTAGGGGTATCAAACTTGTAATGTCACGTGACGTGTTGCAACATATCATAACTTTTTCCCCATTGCCAGCAATGGGGCGGGCACGGTTTCGGCGTGATGCATCCAGCCCACGGGCTGGCAGTTTGACACCCCTGATGTAAAGTGAGAGCCAATTAAACAAAGATAATGATAGGTCCTCAGTATAAAACTGTAGATTGGGGGAAAGGGAACAGAATGAGATATCCTAGATATCCTCTGCATCAGGAGGCTGGAATAAAATAGTCTAGATACCTCTTTCATTTTTAGCAAAAGCTGAAACAGACTCTATTATCTTCCCTTCTCTGTAGGGTATTTTGTTAAATTTAGTTAAGTTGAGATGCTAGAATTGTTTTTGAACAGTTGCTGAGTTTATGAGAATCTGAATGAAAATTCTAAAGCTTCAATTGATGTAGCAAGTACAATGGAGCATATTCACTGCATAAACTGAAGCCCTCTGTCATTTGTTTTCTACAATGAAATCTGTTTTCATGATTCTACAGAAAATTAATTAAAAAGCAACATGAATAGCAGCAACCTTGGTTGTGATGTCCCTGGCCTCTAAAACATGCTTCTGTGAGAATTTGCTTGCTTGGTGTGCCTATCTATTGCTGGATAAAGACCTTTTAAATCACATTCAACAGTGTTTCTCCATACTGCTATGCTGTTATTTCTTAATCCAAGCCCCAAGAACAAATTCTTTATATAAGAGGAAGGAAGGATGGAAGGAAAGGAAGGAAGGGAGGTTTGTTTTATTGCCTTCCAGTCAAAGATAAAGTTCATTCATGTGGTTTTCCTAGCATCAGTTTGGAAATGGTATACTGTTGATGCTTTTTTAAAAATGTCTCAGACTAAATAAATGATGCTCCTTGGATTTCCAAGGCTCCAGATATTGGATGTTAAGTTATTTAAACTATTTGCTACAAATTGGTTGGAAGGATATAGTTAGTATCTATAATTATAGTCACCATACATCCTTTATTATAAAGGATAGCTGTCCTTTAGATTTAATTATTTCATGGTTTTGCTCTTGAATTTTCCTCTGTAAGACAGTTATAATTATTACTATTTATAATCCTTGTGAACCTCCTTCAGCTTTGCCCCCTTTTCCTGTTTGCCCTTTATTTTTTCCAAGAAATAAAATAATCAGTATATCTACAGTGTATTTACAATTCATTTCTCTGGCATGTGATTGAGAAGCAATATGGAGGATGCTTTAGATATCAAGGCAATTTCTGAAAATATACTGGGGTGTGGGGTATGTTTTCCCTAACAAGAAGACTTACTGGAATCTTTAAGAGCGGGTTCTCTCCAGTAGCCCCAAAGATGGACTTTCTGGTTTTTCTTTGAAGACATTTTGCTTCTCATCCAGAAGTTTCTTCTGCTCTGACTGGATGCTGGTGAATGGAAGTATTCCTTTGAAGGGTGCATGAATGAATTGCCAGAAAAATTGCAGGCTATAGGAACCATCTATGTAACCATATATAAGTTGCACTATATATAAGAAATAACTACATCTCTATAAAAATAGTGGTGAATGGTGAATAAACTTAGAGAGAGATTGGGAAGGATTCCATGGATGAGAATCCTCAAGGGGAAAACAACTTGAAAAGCTTGGAAAATTTTGAAAAGTGAGATTATAAAAGCCCAGGCTAGCACAATATCAACAAAGAAGAAAACTAACAAAAGAAACAAGCATGGCTGCATAAAGAACTCTCTGATAAAATTGAAAGACAAAAGGGACAAGGATAAAAAGTGGAAAGGCGTAACTAAGGCAGAATGTCAGCAAGTAGCCTAAGCCTGCAAAGATGAAGTGAGGAAAGCTAAGGTTCAAAATGAACCAAGGCTTGTGATAAAAGTCAATAATAACAACAACAAAAAAGCTGCTTTCAACCTGCAAAAAACAAGAAAAAAATCAAAGAAATGATTGATCCATTAGTGGGAGAAAGTGGCAAGAAGGTGACAAGCAACAATGAGAAAGCAGAACTACATAACTAGTTTTTTCCATCTGTTTTTATACAAAGGGAAAAAACAGTCCAAACTACCAAAAACAGTATCGTAAAAAACAGATTAGAAACACAAATTACAATAGGTAAGAAAATAATAAGTGAGCATCTGTCCACCCTAGACAAGTTCAAATCACCAGGACCAGATGGATTACACCCCAAGGTTCTGAAGGAACTGGCAGACGTGACCTCAGAACCACTGAACTATATCTTTCAAAGGTCCTGGAGCACTGGGTAACTACCAGAGGACTGGAAAAGAGCTGATGTAGTTCCCATCTTTAAAAAAAGATTTTAAAAAATTGACCCAGGAAACTACGGACCTATCAGCCTGACCTCAATACCTGGGAAGATTTTGGAAAAGATAATCAAGCAGCGAATCAGCGAACACCTAGAGGCAAACAAAGTCATGACCAGAAGCCAACATGAGTTTGTCAAAAACAGATCATGCCAGACAATTCTTATTGCATTCCTTGACCAGGTGACAAAATCAGAGCAATGCTGTGGCTATAATTTATTTGGATTTCAGTAAGGCATTTGATAAAATAGACCACCTACTAGACAGCATCACCACCAGATGGATTCATAACTGGCTGACCAACCACATTCAACATGTAGTCCTCAACAGAACTGCATCTACATGGATGGAAGTATGCAGCGGGGTACCCCAAGGCCCACTGTTTTAGGTCCAGTACTCTTCAACATCTTCATCAATGATTTGGATGAGGGAATAGCCAACATTCCAGAAGATAGGCTTAAAATGCAGGAGGATCTTGGCAGACTTGAACATTGGGCGCTATCTAACAAAATGAAATTCAGTGGTGAAAAAAGTAAGGCTCTACATTTAAGCAAGAAAAATCAAATGCACAGGTACAGTATAGGTGGCACCTCGCTCAATAGTAGTAACTGTGAAAGGGATCGTGGAGTCCTAATAGACAATCACTTAAATATGAGCCACATTGTGCTGCAGCTGCCAAAAAAGCCAATACAGTGCTAGGCTGCATTGACAGAAGGATAGAATCAAGGTCATGTGAAGTGTTAATACCACTTTATAATGCCTTGGAACACAGCATCCAGTTTTAATCACCATGATATAAAAAAGATGTTGAGACTCTAGAAAGAATGCAGAAAAGAGCAACAAAGATGATTAGGGGACTGGAGGCTAAAACATATAAAGAATAATTGCTGGAATTGGGCATGTCTAGTTTAATGAAAAGAAGGACTAGAGGTGACATGATAGCAGTGTTCTAATATCTCAGGGGTTACCACAATGAAGAAAGGGTCAACCTATTTTTCAAAGCACCTGAAGGCAGGATAAGAAGCAACAGATGGAAACTAACCAAAGAGAGAAGCAACCTAGAACAGTGGTGGCGAACCTATGGCACGAGTGCCAGAGGCGGCACTCGGAGCCCTCTCTGTGGGCACGCGCACCATGCCCCAGAGATGGCAACTGTCCCTTTTCAACCAGCCACCCGCTAACTCACCGAGGTCCCATGTGGCTGGATGCATTCCAGCATGGCTGGTTTACCTACCCCTTGTCCCATCCCTCCTGGCCTCACATGCTCTCCTTTTCCTGGGCACGACCCACTGCATTGCCTCCTCAGCTGTCGGCTGTCTGTCCAGCTCAGAGGTGGCTTCTCTGAACTTCTGGTGGTGGGCTATGGCGCCCCAGAGTGCGCTGGTCGAGGGGCCGGCAGGCTGTGGCTGCTGATGGACACTGTTGGCCCCCATGCGCTCATTGGCCTCTGTGTGCGGGGGCCGATGGTGTCAGGCAGCAGCTGCCCTGGCCCCTGCCTCTCCTTGCCCTGCGACAATGGCACCCCAGCACTGCCTCACCTCCTCCCGCAGGACGAGTCTACTGCCTACTGCCCCACCAGCCAGAGACCCCTTGGATCTCCCTGAACCCTGCCCAGCCCCCACAGGCATTCTTCCCCATGAGCAACACTGAGGTGACCACACCCATCTTGGCCACACCCACCCAATCTGCCATGACCACCACAGCCACGCCACCCAGTGGGCCATGCCCACCTGGCACCGGGTGATAAATGAGTTTTGGGTTGCAGTTTGGGCACTCGGTCTCTAAAAGGTTTGCCATCACTGACCTAGAACTAAGGAGAAATTTCCTGACAGAACAATTAATTAGTGGAACAACTTGCCTCCAGAAATTGTGAATGCTCCAACACTAAGTTTTTAAGAAGAGACTGGACAACCATTTGTCTGAAATGGTATAGGGTTCACTGCCTAGGACTAGAAGACCTCCAAAGTCTGTCCCTCCCTCCCAACTATTCTATTCTATTCTATTCTATTCTATTCTATTCTATTCTATTCTATTCTATTCTATTCTATTCTATTCCAATTCTAATTCTATTTATCTGCCCCTCAATTTGAGATGCAGACAACACAGATTCATCTCCAACAGCCCGCGCGCCTATGTTCAGCAGTGAAGGGACACAGGGCAGCAAACATCCTGCAAAAGGTACAGCTCCACAACATCCCCATCTAGCTTCTGCAGCTCCTGATATTCTTTCGGTTTTCCTTTTCTCTCTCCCCTTTCCCCCCCCCCTTCCCCTCTCCCTCCTCTCCTTTCCGCGAGCTTCTGCAGTGGGGCGGATGGGCTAAGCGCCCGTGTTAGGCTACAGTCTTCGGGTGTAGGCAAATTGAGAGCAGCCCAACCCTTCCTCCCATCCTCGCTCCTCTCAGCCTTCCAACTCTCGAAACCTGCCCGTTCAGACCACCTCCCCTCCCAGCTGGGGAAGGTCAGAGTCCGAGGGCGCTGCCGTCTCGCCAGTTCCAGAGTCCGCTTCGGCGCTCCCCTCCTCGCCACGTCAAGACTGGAGATCTGCGGGGGAGCGGCTCTCTGCTTATCCGACCCACCTGGTCTTCTCTCGGCCGGTAAGGGTGGGTCCCGCGCGGCCGTCGCTTGTAGCCGTTTAAAAGCTTGCTCCCGTCGTCATTGCTCTGTATTGGTGCTGTATTCTGGGAGTTGAAGTCCACACATCATAAAGTTGCCAAGGTTGAGAAACACAGCCTCCGAAATATTTTTCTTTCTTTTTTGCTTGTTTTCCAGCCTTCTCGTGGTCGCTATGAATAACCTGGCTAATGCAAACTCGCAGTTTGCTCTGGATCTTTTCCAAAAATTGAACGAAGCCCACCCAACTGACAACATTTTCTTTTCTCCGGTCAGCATATCTTCTTCTCTGGCCATGATCCTCTTAGGAGCCCGGGATAATACAGCCGCGGAACTCTCGAAGGTCAGCAGATATTTTTCTGGCATGTTTAGTATAGCACCTATGAATATTGAGGTTCTTTTGTAATGAGAGTTGTATATTTTAAGTGCTGTATATTTGATACACAGCCTGTAGCACAGGGACGTCACCTTTGGATTTAAAAGGATTGATGTTAAATCACTGTATTAAAATGTATTAAGTATATCGCTGGATTTAGTTAGTACTTCAAAAAAGTTAGTAAGACACTAGATCAGTAGTGTTCCTTCTTTCGTGATTTACTCCAGAGTTTTTATTAGTGTTTTGCTGAACAATTTTCAAGTGAATAAGGGTGATGATAGATGTTAGATAGATGATAGAGGGAGAAAGATATATAGATAGAGATATAGAGATAGATGGTAGATTAGATAGATAATAGATTAGATAATTAGATAGATAGATAGATAGATAGATAGATAGATAGATAGATAGATAGATAGATAGATAGATAGATAGATAGATATGATTTAGATAGGTAGGTAGGTAGGTAGGTAGGTAGATAGATAGATAGATAGATAGATAGATAGATAGATAGATAGATAGATAGATAGATGATAGCCAATTTTATATCACTAAATTTGGCCTATCAATCAAAGGTTCTGGAAATTTTATTTTTAATTTACATGTTATACTCTGTGATAAAGTTGAAAATTTTTGGTTTAGATTTTCCACATATAGTTGTCCAACCTGTATGGGATAAGGATATAAGAAGAAAATTCATGTACAAGAAATACAAAGAAGTAATGCCTTTTTTTTCACCATTAGCCAGTAAGCAAACTCAGCTTACTGGCTAATATGCTGAAATTTTCAAGCACACGATTACAGTAAGCTAAGATAAAAGCAATAGCTCTTTCCTCAAAAACTTACAGCCTCTATAGGGAATTAATATTTTGGTTTTCAAGTGACAGAGTGTCAGCCCCTCATACAAAGGGCGCAAATGGGAAATAAAAGAAACAACCCAATGCTCTCTGTTGCATTCTCTTGCTATGCTTTATCAAAAAACCATTATGAAAATCGGACTAATATTCAACTTTTTCCTTATCTGTACTTGTTTTATACTGTAGTCTACAGATTCCGTAACTGATACCCTAAGGTAACTTTGAATAAAGCCTCCTGTTGTGTCATTTCTCCAAGACAGAATATATGGCAAATACATTCAGCCTTTGATAAATCCCCAATTTTTCTTTGTTTATGTAAAACCCATAGTATTAGTCTTAGATACTGTATGTGCCTCTTTTAAAATGAAACCTAAATATGCAGAGAATGGTCCAGTGCAGCTTGTTTATGTATGCCTTTCTGTCTGTGTGTCTGTAGATTTCTGGAATGTCTCCACTGCTCTTAGACAAAAGTATTTTTGAATTAACCATAATTTCACTGTTCTTATTGGTATTAAGTTAGGATCTATCTTTTCCATGCAGACACTTCATTTTGATGGTGTTGAAGACCTTCATTCAGGATTTCACAGGCTCAATACTAAAATTAACCGGAGCAATGCACCCTATATTCTGACATTTGCTAATAGGTTGTACGGAGAAAAAACTTTCAACTTTTTGTCTGTAAGTAGATTGCAAACATCAATAACTCATGGGTCATCAGAATGGCTTTATAGGTCAATTTCAAATGTTAATTGATTATGATATTCATCAATACGTGCTTTAAGTGAATAATCTCTTTTAATTAGGTCTGCTATGTTCAGCCCAGCCCAAAAATGATACAGTAAGATCCAATTATATCCAATCATTTATTTTCTTACACCTAATGGACAGAATCTTGCCAAATGAAAGTTATAACCATCTAACCCACTAGATATGGCCTGAGAAATTCCAGGGTGTGGTTACTCTGAACCTTTCCACTTCCCCTCTCCAGTTTAGGATTGCACAGTGTCTTAATCTGTGCATCTCTCGGGGAAAACTCTGTTTTGCTAAAATTTCCTACCCCACCCCCTCTTGCTTCTTCAGGTACATGGCTATGAAATATGCAGTTTTATACGTTCATTCCTTTTCTCTCTTTTACCCACAGACAGTCATGTTTCTTGTGAGATGTAGAAGCATTGCTGCTAACATTATTACATAGATACAGATTTTCCAATTAGACTACAAATTGTATGTATGATATGCATCTCTTTTCACAAGAATAAACTATCAGTCAAAATGATGCTAATCTCGTGTCATGGTTAAAGTACTGAAGAAGAGCTGGAAGGCTTAGATCAGACATGTCAAACAGAAGGCCCGGTTTCATGGTTTCATGTGGCCCGCGAAGCCATCCTGGAAACTGTGAGGGAACGGTCCCCTCTGCCTTGGCCCTGGCCGGCCGGGAGCCAATGTACAATTTTGTCATGGCTATCTATCCTGAAACGCATTCAGTCTTAGCTCCACAAGGCCGTCTGGAAACAGCGAGGAACCAGGATAACCTTGAGCAGCAGCCTTGAGGAAGTGGGGCTGGGCTTGATGCTGCAGGTGCTCAAGGGCCAGGCTGGGCATTTGACCTCTGCTGCCCAGGGCTCTGGGCAGCCTGCACCACCATCCAGACCACCCCGCATGGCCTGAGAGGTACAGGGAGGCTCCTCCAGTGGACCATGCCTTGGCACTTGCCCTGGTCCCACCCCCTTCTGCCAGAGACCCTCAGATCTGTCCCATTCCTGCCCGGCCCCCCACAGGCACCCTTGACGCGAACGATGTAGAGCTGGCCATACCCACCTAGTAGGCCACACCCACTCCATCCACACTCACCTAGTAGGCCGCACCCACCCTGGCCATACCCACCCAGCCCCCTGAGGGCAACCACAATGCTGATGCGGCCCTCAATGAAATTGAGTTTGACACCCCTGGCTTAGATTTAGGACCTCACTCAGAATAGTCCACTTTTTCTCTTCAGGCTAGTTGTGTTTTTCAGCCTAAACATGTTATCAAGACAGTGAATTGGAAAACTTCAACATAGACTACATCAGCCTTTTAGAAAGAAGATATGTCTTCATTATGCTATTATGAGTACTTCTTATGTGCTTAAATGCAGTTAGAAAATTCTAGAGCATGATGAATGATGAAGGCAAAGGCTGTCAAGCAGAAACAGGGAAATTAATTGGATCTCTAGTTGATTGGAGATTATAATTGTTATTATTTATTAAATGTAAATGCTTCCCCTCTTGCTATCCATAATAGCATTTATTTTATAATTTTATAATTTTGCTAGGATTTCTTGACTAGCACCCAGAATTTGTATGGAGCTGAATTAGCCACAGTGGATTTCTCAAATGCTCCAGACAAGGCAAAAAACGAAATTAACCAGTGGGTTGAACAGCAAACTGAAGGTGAGTTATTTTTTAAAAATTAACAACTATTGGGTCCACATGATAGTCAACTCTTACTTTTAATTCCCATAATGCTGCCATAAAATACCAATTTCAGGAATTGATAAAAAACAAAATAATACTTTGCAACAGTTGATCTTACAGAACAGTGGTTCTTCAGTTGTATAAAGTTGTATAAAGGATCCGGTCAGCAGCCCCGTAACCTGATAAAAGATATTTGGGCTGGCATAACAAATCTCATGAAAAATACAAATTTGAGAACAACCCACCAATACAGAGGACACAATAAATGAATGTTTCACATTGTCCTTGCCTGTAGAGTATCTCCTCAGAGATACTTAAAAAGTGGACATTTCATATTAATGAGGCTGCTTAATGCAACTCACATCCTTTTATTTTATTTATTAAATTTATATCCTGCTCATCTCACTGTACAGCAACTTTAGGGAGTTTATCGAATGATAAAAAGATAAAGACAATGCAAAACAATTAAAATTTAGAAAGGTTAAATAGACCAAAAGCCAAGAGGACAGAAGACATAAGGATGGGGATCTTCTCTGAGTCCCAGCAACCACACCCAGCATAGAATGCCCTTGTCGAAGCTCTAGACCAGCCAGCAGAGCCAGGTTTTAAGAGCCAGGAATGTGGGGACTGACCTTACCTCCAGGAAGAAATATTTATTTATTTATTTTTATTTATTTTATTTTATTTTTAAAATTTATAAGCCGCCCCACTCCCAGAGGACTCTGGGCGGCTAACACCATAAAACATAACAAAACAAACAGTACAATAACAGTCATCCAGGGGTCAGATTTTATAAACCCCAGGCCTGCCAGAAAAGCCAGATCTTAAGCAGCTTACGGAAAACCAACAGGGTGGGAGCGGTCCTAATCTCCGGGGGGAGCTGGTTCCAAGACATCACAGAGAAAGCCCTCTTCCGCGGCCCTGCCAAATGGCACTGCTTGGCCAACGGGACCTGAAGGAGGCCCAGCCTGTAGGATCTAACCGGATGAAGGGAACTATGAGGTAGTAGGCGGTCTCGCAAATAGCCTGGCCCTGAGCCATATAGGGCTTTAAAGGTAATAAGCAACACCTTGAATTGGACCCGGAGACCAATAGGCAATCAGTGCAGCTCACGGAGGATAGGTGTAACGTGGGTGTATCGAGGAGCACCCACTATCACTCGCGTGGCTGCATTCTGGACCAACTGTAGTCTCCGAATACTTTTCAAGGGTAGCCCCATGTAGAGCACGTTGCAGTAGTCCAGACATGAGGTGACAAGGGCATGAGTGACTGTAAGGAGAGCCTTCCAGGTAGGGTTGCAACTGGTGCAACAGACGAACTTGTGCAAAGGTCCTCCCAGCCACAGCCGTCAAATGATAAATATTAAGAACACTGAATGTTTTGACTAATTGAGTAAAAAGAGGATTCTATCTTAAATTGGAGTGATTCTGGAGCTGTGGCACCTTATGCACATGACAGGAACTGGCCAGTGAGTGCCATTCACAGAAGCTTTTGTTAATTCAGGATTTTTTTTTTTAAGAGTATAATTGCAGAGGGGAAATGTACATTTAACAAGTGCATTTAGATTAGTCTGATTGATATTATTTAGGTCTCAGTTTCTTGCACAGCTAATTAACAGTAAAATTTCTCTGTCAAGGTAAAATCCCTGAGTTGCTATCTGAAGGCTCTATCAATGAAATGACTAAATTGGTTTTGGTGAGTGCTGTCTACTTTAAAGGCAGCTGGGCAAAAGCATTTAAAGAAGAAGATACTGAAGACAAGCCTTTTAGACTAAATAAGGTAAATGGATTGTTTTTTTCATATTGTCTCTCTTTTGTAACAATAGCTTGTTCTTTAGGCACTTGTGGCAACGTACACTCTCATTAAGCATCATCAAATTTTTATGATAGCGCTGAACACATAATCTTTATCTGTACTCATGTTTTTGAAGCTTTGTATCAGTTCCTTTGAACCTAATCACTAATTAAAAATTTCAACTTTCCCATAAATTAAACCTAATTCCATTCTGAAATATTTTACTGAATTTAGTAGGTCATTTGCCTATATCAGTGATGATGAACCTTTTAGAGACCGAGTGCCAAAACTGCAATCCAAAACCCACTTATGCATCGTTGGGTGCCAGGTAGGTGTGGCCCATTGGGTGGGCATGGCTGTGGTGGTAACAGCAGACTGAGTGGGACTATAAAGTTCAATCAGTCAATTCCAACTTTGCAAGATCTTTTTTTTTCCCGTGAGAAGTTGAAATTGACTGATGGATGAACCTTTTTTTTGGACATAGCGGCAGAGGCCTAAAGCGAAAAGGTTTTATGAAACCCAGCTGAAGGCCTAGGACTGGGGCCATGGCGCGCGTGCCCACAGAGGGGGCTCTGAGTGCTGCCTCTGGCACCCGTGCCATAGGTTTGCCACCACTGGTCTATATGCTCTAATACACGAAGGAAGACAATAAAGCAGTTTTTACTTTTTTTTACTACAGGAAGGTTCCACCCCCCTGGGTTAATTTTTAAGTTGGCTTAGCTGTTCTGTTTACCTGAAAATGAATTTACCTGAAAATGAATTTCATTCAGCTTAATAGGATTGTATGATTCCAAAGAATAGCTAGCTATATATTAATATAGTTTTGCAAAGATCCACTTCCCAGAATTAGTTATATCAATATCAATTTCAGCATATACTGTACGTGCAGAAGCTTTTATTTTTGTTGTTTTTATAAGCTCCTCACTGTAATAGTCTTATAATAATCCAGACAGAAAAGAAGAATGTGAAGATGATGTTCATGAAAGAGAAACTTCCTTTTGGTTATATCCCTGAATGCAAGTGTCGTGTGCTGGAACTGCCATACAATGGAGAGGATCTTAGCATGATCATCCTTCTGCCTGATAAAATTGAGGATAATTCTACAGGCCTAGAACAGGTGATTCTGTTGTTTTCTTGCTATTGCTATAAAATCATTGTCCTAAAACAAAAATTATTCTAAATATGACATGAATACAGTACTTGGTAGGATCACCCATGTGGTTGGGCAAAGTTCTGGGTTATGTGATGCATTGAGTGGCTCCATATACATCGGTTAGGTTCTGAAGAGAGGCTGCCTTAATAATAATAATAATAATAGTAAAGTTGGAAGGGACCTTGGAGGTCATCTAGTCCAACCCCCTGCTCAGGCAGGAAACCCTATACCATCTTGGACAAATGGCTAACTTGGTCTTCCTGTGGTTAAAAAATGACTGATATATTGTCAAGAAATAGGAGAAAACAGGAAATACTAATACTAATAATAAAGTTGGAAGGGACCTTGGAGTCATATAGTCCAACTCTCTGCTCAGGCAGGAAACCCTATACCATTTCGGACAAATGGCTGTCCAGTCTCTTCTTAAAAACTTCCAGTGTTGGAGCATTCACCGCTTCTGGAGGCAGGTTGTTCCACTGGTTAATTGTTCTAACTGCTAGGAAGTTTCTCCTTAGTTCTAGGTTGCTTCTCTCCTTGATTAGTTGTCATCCATTGCTTCTTGTCCTGCCTTCAGGCGCCTTGGAAAATAGCTTGACTCCCTCTTCTTTGTGGCAGCCCCTGAGATACTGGAAAACTGCTATCATGTCCCCCCTCATCCTTCTCTTCATTAAACTAGACATACCCAATTCCAGCAGCCGTTCCTTATATGCTTTAGCCTCCAGTCCCCTAATCATCCCCTATTCTGGGGATCTCCAGAAAATCATTTTTGTACCAGACACTATGAATCCCTAATCATCTTGGATGAAAGAGTGGAAACCAAATTAGATCTGAATTAGATTTAAATGGTATCTAAAATGGTAAAGTATCTATTAAATAAATGCTTTTTATATTATATTTGGACAGGACAGCCATGGTTTGCCTGAAAATACATTCTTTAAAAATTCACGTTACACTTCTAATAATGTTTATGCTATAAACTCTGTATTGATTTTTTCCCATATGAACATCAGTTAAAGCTGCAAATAGTTTAGCATGAAGCAAAACCCATCTTGCGCTCAGTCCAATGCCATATTTTTATTGTCTCCCATAGAGGAAGACTATGTCTGGGGGTAGAGAAAGGTGCTCTCTGGCTCTGCGGATGCATTCATACTGAAGTCAGTATGTTTTTCAGCAAGGCGTTTCTGCTGAAATGGAAATATCGTAGCACAATGATACAAATGATTACTCCTCTTTCTTTGCCATTTTAGCTGGAGAAGCAGCTTACTTTGGAAAAACTGCAAGAATGGACCCAGCCCAAAAATATGAATTCCGACCTGGACGTCTATGTACATCTACCTAAATTTCAGCTGGAAGAAAACTATGATCTTAAATCTTACTTTGCAGCAATGGGGCTGTTAGATGTGTTTGACAGTGGCAAGGCTAATTTGTCTGGCATGTCAGGAGCTCAGGACCTCCATGTCTCTAAAATTGTTCACAAGTCATTTCTAGAAGTAAACGAAGTGGGCACTGAAGCAGCAGCAGCTACTGCTGCTACGATTATGTTACTTTGTCTGCCCATTGCAGAGGAGTTTAATGCTGACCATCCTTTCCTATTTTTTATCCGTCATAAAGCCACAAACACTATACTTTTCCTTGGTAGATTTGTTTCTCCATAAAAGTAGCATAAAACCAACTTCCAGCCTCCTATAAAAGACACATTTCTTTGCCTGCTTGGGGGAATTGCCATAAACAAGTTGGGTTTCTGCAGATGTTTTCCATCTTGGATTTTCTTCAACTCCTGAGTCTGTTGACATGTTTTATGTGACACTTTGCTCTAAAGCAGGGGTGTCAAACTCGCTGTGTCACGTGACATGATGTATTGTTACTTTTCCCCCTTGCCGGAGCTGGGATGGACGCGGTTTCCGCGTGATGCATCCAGCCCGCGGGCCGACAGTTTCACACGCCTGATCTGAAGGGTAGCCATCTCTAATCTAGGACATTCAGGTGTGCTTGACTACAGTTCCTTTAATTTCCAGCTAGCTAGGAATTCTGGGAATTTTAGTTTGAGCTGTTTGGAAGCCATCCGGCAAGGGATAGCTGCTGTGCACTGTATTTGTAAAACCAATAACACATGAATTACTGGAATAAGATTGGCCTTCATTTAATACAATTTAAGAGTCTTTAGTCCAGGAACTGGACCAATGGAAGATCATTGATAATATAGAATCCAGAAAGTGACTTCTTTCTTGTTCAAAAATAGAAAGCAATTTGGCACTTGTCTTAATAAGTACCTTATGAGGAATTATGGTACCACTTTTCTTCTCATTCAGTGAGTGGAAAATTGTTCACATATGAATCAACAGCAGCCTCAATGTACTAATTTTCTGATTTTTTTTTTCCGTCCACATTGTCTCTCCTCATTAAATCTGAGTTATATGTTGTTGTCCATCTTTCAGGCATTGATTTTATTGAAGATAGATGTCAAATAAAGAAGTTCTAACAACATTTTGAAGAGGTTGTTGCTTCTACAATTCAGTTTAATTCATGTTGCCTGGATGATTTAGAGGCACTCTTGTTTTAAATATTGGAGAAAGTCCCCTCGTGCTTTCCCCTAAATTGTCATTTATAATATAATCTGCCAATAATTTTGCTTTATGTCTATTTTCTCTCCCTTTCCCAGCCTTTTACAACTATCTACAGATGGGGCTCTGGGCTAGCAAAACGAAATGTCAATAAGCCTGCACACCAAACAATATAGTACTTAAAATATTATAACTGAAGTTTTTTTTTATCAAAATGGAAACGGTGATGATTTTTAAATTCACTTTATTTTCACAGTTTCAAAAATAATTTCTTAAGTTACATTTCAATTATAAGGGTTTTTTTTCCAGCTTAAGGTGCAAATGCAGTATTTCTTTCAACCAAGGACACAAGTCAAAATTAGGGCCTTTTAAGTTCTATGGATTGTATTAAATATATACTTATATCAGTCCCCACTGAAAAAGCCTAATATTAGCTAGACTGGGCATTTTTTATTTATTTATTTTAAATTTCTGAAATAATGTCCTTTATATCTTTGATTAAATCCAGTGATTTTAGTTGTTCTTTACCTGTATAATATGTATTTTATCTAAGATTATCAAACGATTCTTACATTTTGCATAAAACCTGCAATAAAATATTCTTTATAGTATAAAATGGTTTAGGAATGTGCAGTTATTTGGATTTCAAGTGGAAAAGGAAGCAGCTCCTTAAGTAGAACACATATTTTCCTCTGACTACATAATTAGTGTAGAAAAGATGTAGTTTCTTTAAGGAACCTCTAACAACAGATATTGAGTATATCCGTATCTGTGCTGAGCAGCGTTTTGCCTTGAATTAGAATAATAGAATATCCTCAGCGTTGTTGCATTTGTATCAAAGATAATGTAATTAACATAGATATTATTTAATGCAAAAAGGTAAGCATCCCAGTTTGAGGCTACCAGTTTAATATGGCTGTTCTGGAAATATACGGTTTTCTTAAAACCGAAATGAACTTTTGAGAAAAATATTGCAGGATTAATATGAGTTGCACAGGGTCTTCCATCAAATTTTGCTTTGTGTAAAAAAATCAATCTCTTTCAACTCTTCAGGCAGATATTCTTGCTCTACAGGATTCTTGTACACGGGATTATATTTATAATCTTTACCATAACCTAAATTTTTCATGAGCCTGGTTGGTGCATTCCGCAAATGTAAAGGAACAGGAGGAAGTGGTCCCTGGTGGTCTCTTAGGCATGCTTTCACATTGCTGTAGGCCCTGTACACTTCAATAGACTTTGGTGCTCTGGCAAAATAGACTACACACTGTGCCAGTAAGACCTAAGCAACAAAAAGAAAGGGACAATTAAAGAAGGGAAATGTATTACAGGTAGTCCTCGACTTACAACACTTTTGCTTAGTGACCATTCGAAGCTACACTGGCAATGAAAAAAAGTGACTTTTGACCGTTTTTCACATTGCAGCATCCCCATGTGATCATGTGATCAACATTCAGACGCTTGGGCAACTGACTCGTATTCATGACGGCTGCAGTGTCCCGGGGTCATGTGATTCCCCTTTGGCAACTTTTTGACAAGCAAAGTCTGTGGGGAAGCCAGATTCATTTAACAACCATATTACTAACTTAACAACTACAGTGATTCAGTTAACAACTAGGGCAAGAACAGTTGTAAAATGGGGCAAAATTCACTTAATAACTCTCTCACTTAACAACAAAAAATTGGGCTCAATTGTGGTCAATTGTTGCACTAAACTCTTGACATAGGATATAGCATGATTCCTGCATTTTATTGAAAACATGGAATTGACAGAATGGCAGGAAGAAGGGGCCTATGTTTGCAATGATTAGGAATATTCTGTTTCTTTTCTGGACCATACTATTCTAGATTGTGAAAATCTGCACAATCTGGTCCAGTCTTGGAATACTACAAATTGTTTTTTTTTTTTTTTTTAATTGAAAATTTTTACATTTTACAAAAACAAATCCCCTTCCCATACCCCCCCCTACCTCACCCCCCCCTTCCCAACCTCCCAAACCCTCCCCTGGACTTCCCAGAGCTGAGTACAGGCTTAATTAAAAAAAAAACTTAAAACACTTTTAAAACCTAAACAAATTTAAATACAATCATCATTCTATATAAGCTCCCTCCAAAAACACAAATTTAAACATTACTTTCTTTGAATATCTATATCTATAATATAAAATCTAATTTCTCCCTCTTTCTTTATCCTAAAACGAAAAAATAAACATACAAATCTTTGTTATACCATTAAAGCTAAATACTCTTAAAGAACTTAAAGTAAGTACATATTTCCTTCAATCTTCATAATCTTCTCTCCTATCCAAAAAGAAAAAAACTTAAAAAACCTATAAGTCCTAAACAAATCTAAGCACATTTAATTAAACAAATTATTTTCTCTTAAAAATATTAATAATAATATTTAAAAACTAGAAACACTTTTAAATCCTAAACAAATCTAAATACAATCATCACTCTATATAAACTCCCTCCAAAACCACAAATTTAAACATTACTTTCTTTCCTAAACAAATCTAAACATTTAATTAAACAAATTATTTTCTCTTAAAAATATTAATAATATTTAAAAACCAAATTTAAGCATACTTAAAACTTGAACAAGTTATACTCCCTTCAAAACACAAATTTAAACATTACTTAAAATTTAAAACATTAGAATCCCCTCACTAAAATAAGCAAATTATAATCCCTTCAAAACACAAATTTAAACAATATTATCATTAAAGGTTCAAAACTTAAAACAACAAAATTAATAAACACATTAAACATTTCAATCTTCACCAATAACAAATTCCATCCGTAAGAAACTGCATCCTTATCAGTCTCAATTATATTAGTATTATTAATTATTCACATTCCAGTTTTTTCCATTCTCCATTCTTCCATTCTTCCATTTCCCTTCTCCATTCTTGTATCAAACTCGTAAGAAATGCTGCAAGTTCTGCCTTAGGAGACTGCTCCAAAATTCCTGAATCTCCCATCGACTCCGAAGCCAATAAGGGTTCCTTGAATTCCTCCTTGTATTGGTCTTTACAATTGTAAGTTGTACAAGTTATCCTCTGCCCGTTCCTCTCTTGTTGATGCCCCTCAAACTGAGATTTCCCAATTTCCATTTCAGGCAGCAATTCCACCCTTAAGATTGCTCCAAAGACTTTGTAGGTCTAACATCTCCCAGAGATTCAGAACCACTGAATATGAAACTTCCTTAACCTTCTTCTGTTGCTGCTTTTCTTTGGAATTGTATACTGCACAAGTTGTCTTCTGCTCCTCAACCTGGACTTGTTGAGGCCTCTCACACAAAGATTCTCCAGTTTTCATAAATATAGGCTCTTCAAACTGTGATTCTACATTCTTTTCTTCCAAAGCTTTAAACTTAATAGATGGCGATGCACATACCCCCAGGACCGAAGTATAAAAATCTTTTGCTTGAGAAACAGTATTAAGTCTATAACATGTCCCCAGGTAATTCACCACCATTCCAGTCGGAACATCCCATCTGAATAAAATTTTTCTCTTTTTAAGTTCATTTGCTAGAAAAGCAAACTCCTTTCTTCTTCTTAAAATTTTAGATGGGATCTCCTTAAAAATTATAACATCTTGTGAAGCAATTTGAAATCTCTTCTTATAATAGGCTTGCACAATTTCATTACGTAAAGATCTTTTACCAAAGTAAATTACCACATCTCTTGGCAGATTCTTCTGTGCTGCCACCACAGAGTTAACCCTAAATAATTTTTCAATTTCACTAAGGGAATACTACAAATTGTTTCTGATTCAGAATAATTAACTTTTGAAATGACTAAAGCCTCCTTAGAATGATATGTTTGCCATGAAACAGAGGTGTGACTGTTTCCAGAGTTTTGTGCCTCCTAAATTGAACTCATTGGCATATATTCCTAGACAAAACATACAAGGTTACATTACTATTTATATTGTTCAGTAATTATATGCAATAGAAGGAAGCAAAATTACTGTACAGGTAGTCCTCGACTTATAACCATAACTGGGACCAGAATTTCCATTGTTAATCAAGATAGAAATGTTAAGTCAGTCGTGCCTGGTTTATGACATTTTTGCTATGGTTGTTAAGCAAATCACTGGAGTTGTTAAATGAATCACATCAAGCTTCCCTTATTGACTTTGCTTGTCAGAAGTCAAGTGGGGAGATGGCAAATGGCAATCACATAACCCAGGGACACTAACCATCGTAAATGCATGCCAGATGCCAAGCACCCACATTTTGTTCATGTGACTATGGGGATGCTGCAATGGGCATAAATGTGAGGACTGGTTGTAAGCCACTTTTTTCAGTGTCACTGTAACTTCAGACAGGCACTAAATGAATAGTTGTAAGTTGGGGACTACTTGTAGAAGAAAAAATAACATTTAGAAGTTTTGATGTTGATTGTTTATAAATTACATTACCTCACACTCCGGCATTCCAATAAAGTGGCAGCCTTGATAAGCAGCCACAGCTTGAGGTAAGGCCAAGGGATCTGCTAATCCTATAATGACATTTTATATTCTAATCAACAATATGATACATCAAATCAAGTTGACTTAAATAAACCGCTACATGGCATGGCCTTTCTATTTGAGGGACTGCTTGTTCTGTGTGCTTCAAAAGACTCGGCTTCCTTCAGGTCTCACTGATTAAGTAAAGTCATCTAGCAGGACCTAAGAGATAGGCCTTCTATTGCTGCACCTGTCCTTTAGAGATTCATATGGCCCCTGCCTTAAAGTGATCTTTAAAACCATCCAAATCTAAGGCCTAGATTTTTTCCTAGGCCTTGGATTTGGATGGTTGGGTTGGAAACTTTAAGGTGGGGGAGGAAAATGTACAAAGATGGTTTGTTGTTCTCTTCGACAGTTACTATTTTATGTGTGGTTGGGGGGGTTGGGTTTTTTTTGAGTTGGCAG